CTACGAGGGACTGTAATCGATCATAGCGAAGCGCCAAGGAAAGGACCTGACCATCCTGAAGGGAGAGCTCAACGCCAAAGTCGGAATGGACAGTACTAAGCATGAAGATATCAGGGGACGACTTGGACAGAGAGAGAAATAAGCATGGCGAGAGATTTGCAAACTTATGCACAATATTACCACAGAAACACATACAAAAAGCTATATGGGTCTCATCGGATCACACTTCAGAGAGTCAGATCGATCATTTTTACATCACTAAAAATTCAGAAGGTCAACAGGAGACATGAGAAACATGAGGGAGGGACTAACATAACTTCATATCACCGCCTGATTGTGGTTGCCAAGATGAAACTAAAGCTAAAGAAGTTCTGGACATCTGGGGAAACGGTATCATAATGGTTCAATACAGCCTTCCTTCAACATACTGACAAACTCAATGAATTCGAGATAACTCTCAACAACATGTTTCAAGTATTACAGGACGTACTGAAGAAGGAGAAACTGCTATGGAAAACAATTGGGAGGGGATCAAAGAAGCAATAAATTCAACGTGTCAGGAGGTTCTGGGCCGCAAGTAGCACCATCATCTCGGTCGAAACCCTGGACAAGATTCAAGAAAGGAAGAGCATAAAGATAGCAATTAACAATTTCCAACCCAAAAAGAACAGACAAAGTCAAGGCACAAGCTGAATACATAGAAGCAAACAAGCAAATAAAGAAAAGTATTAGAACTGACAAGCAGAAATGTGCGGAGGGGCTAACAACGACAGAGGAAAAAGCTTCGAGAAAAGGAAGTATGAGACAGACATATGACATGACAAAGAAACTGACAGGAAAATATCACAAACCAGAGAGATCGGCCAAGGACAAACAAGGTAAACCAATTACTGAAATTCAAGGACAGAGGAACAGATATGTGGAACACTTCGGGGAACTCTTAAATAAACCAGCTTCATCTAATCCGCCGGATACTGAAGCAGCGTCTACAAACATCCCCATAGATGTCAGTCCACCAATGATCGAAGCAATAAGGATGACCATCAGACAAATCAAGAGTGGGAAAGCGAAAGGACCTGACAATATACTGGATGAAGCACTGAAGTCAGATATAAAGGCAACTGTACACTTACTCCATATTTTAATCATGAAGAATTTTGAGGAAGAACAAATGCCGATTGACTGCAAAGAAGGATACTTTATCATCGAATCCTTGCAGATAAATACTTGATCACATATTGTTAGGAATACTCTTATTGATTCTCCAGTACCGAACACCAATTTATAAAACGTTACTTCTGCTGTTTATCACGTTATATTTTGATAGAGAAATCTTTGCTTATACAACACAGGCTGTAGCGTTTTGGTTATTTTGTATTTTGTAAGTATTGTTTTTTCTTTCTTAAATTAGGACCGTTTAAATTGAGCACAGAATTTGTGTTTCTATATAATTTGATGCGAATCACACAAAAACTTTTCGTATGCTATGTAGAAGAACGTGATTCGGTCTAGTTAAATAAATTTTGGCTTGTTAGTTCTGCGTTCGGATCAAATGTTGAAATTTGGTCATTACATTGAGGGTTAAATAGATGTTCAGAAATCAGTGGTAATAACAAAAAGTATGTATATTTCTTTCTAACATTCTCACTAACACTGTTCCAACCAATAATTAAGGGAGCAGCTCCTATGGTGCTCACCAAGGTTAGAATTCCCGAGACTTGTGTACTGGTATCAAAGACTAGAAACTTGATAAAGCCAAACAAAGCAATCATTCGGTACTTCAGCTCCTTTGACAGAGTCCTCACTGTAGGTAGAGGTGCACTTAATTCTACTCCAGTTTTTTTATTTAAACGCGATCAACTTATTCGTTTAACTTACGACCCAAATAGCATTAAAACCGAATTCCACTTCAAACACCAAACGTTTATTCGGAAATAACGAGTATAGATATATATTATAGAAATCATAAGAAAATTCACAACAAACCTTTAATTTTTAGGTTTCTGAAGCAAGATTTCCAAAATACATGACCGAAACACTGTGAAACTGAAAATGTCCAGGGTATAGACAAAAAAGATTGAAGAACATAAAACATGATTGCAAAATTTTTCAGCAAGAGTTAAATTAAAACAGCAGGGCGAAAATAAAAACATAATAGTATTATCCAACAGATCACGTTGGTGGAACGTTCATGGTGTTCTTCTTACACTTATTACGGAGTAAACTTTAGTGTGTACAAATGGCTGGTGCTTTTCATTAGTGCCTATGTTACTGATTTTGGCAACCATTGGAATGTTGACTATGTTGTTTTCTGTTTCTGAATTCGGTCATAGGCCTAATAGTTGGTTATAGGTAGGTCAGCCAAGGCACTGTCGCATTACATTTTGCGATTCCGAGAAAATGAAATGTGTTTCATCAGACAACCAGATGAGTGAGCCTGGAGTAATTGTACAAAAAGTATCTCACACAATAAACTCCTGGGACACCTTGCTAAAGACTTATTGAGATGAGTTCCATGTCACTTATGCTCAAGACAGAAATATAATTTCCGAAGATTTTGAGAAAGTCGAGCTTTGGAGAGCTTGGAGTGGTATTGGGTCCTGACGACGCAATAATTGAAGCCGAGCACATAATTACTGAGACGATTAGCATTCAACATGTGGCACTTAGGAAGGCCAGAAATGGTGAACACGGGAACACCCGATTGGTATGAAATTGTTCAGACTTCCAGGCGTGATCATTCCCTGTACCTAATCCCTATTCACATTAAATATATTATTCTATCCCCAGCCCAAATTCTTTTTAAGAAGCGTTAGACATATTACCGACGTCAGGATAGGACGAGTAAGTATAGACAGTAGTGTGACTTACATGCAAAATCTTATAGATTAGGCAGTCATATCATGACAAATCTACAATTTAGGGGTTAGGTCTATCATTATAGTGTAGTGACCTACGCGATTGATTTAATTGAAACAATTATTATTATAATCAATTGTACCGGTGATTGTTTTACTGTGCTCGTTTGTTTAACTGTGCTAAAGACAGCCCTATTCCTCCTCCATTACTTTTCCGCGGATTGTGACCTCGTACGTTCGTACTCTTGCCCGCTGATTCCACTTGTACTCCTTTTGGCACGATCTCGGTATTCGTTCGATACCACGAGATCGCCAACGAAATAAACTTGGTTACGCCCTATCTTCGCCTACTGATTTATTTGGTATGCGTTTCCCTGTAGTGGTGCTCATAGTCAATCTCGACTCGACACCACGCTACAATAGTAACAAAGGCAAATGTAGTAATATCAAATTAGACCATAATCCTACATTGGTGGGACCGTCTACAGAAACCCAGCATGTAATTAATTCTCACATCAACTTTAAATTGATCGACTGATTTCTAATCATGTTAATTCATCTTTCTGTTAGTATGTTGATAAGTTGTCACATGTATTATCGTATTGTAATGTTGTCTAGTACTCATAGTTTACTAGCCCGATCAGTACTAATTACTGATCATCTATATCATTCAACTGGATAACTGAGAATCATGATGGCTTTATCAATTCATATGAGTTTCTATCCGACAAGATCACTGTTTACTATCATGTTTTATGAATAGGAAACATTGGCTTGTTTTGGCGAGAACTCGCGTAAAGTAGTATAAACTTTTACTGCCTTATAAGAATGGGTGTTCTTGTCACTATTCGGCAGGAAGGTTAATTTTCCAAAACTCATTATTTGGTGGCCACATAATATGTTAAGAAACGTTTTACATTCAAAGTGATAGGTAAGTTCTTCAGAAGAATCTAAATTCAGCTCGTGACTAAGTAAGGACAGCGAATCATCTATAATCCAAGACCATTTTTCCTTCTTTCTCAAAAATATAAACGGATTTTGGGCTCATCCTTAGATGAGTCACAAAAAGCGGTATGCAGCATCGAGTTTCGAAACTTTTGAATACACCAAACTTAAGATCAGGGAGAGTTCGTTTCTTCTTTATGGAACTTTTTACTTACTTCATCTTGGTCAACTATCAACATTCTCTCTTTCCAAGTAGACTGTTATATTGTCATGTCGGCCTCCTATAACGATGAGATAAACGGTTCTACGAAGGTAACTAATCTTTAACATGAATTAAGCAGAATGTATGCCTGGATTATTAGAAACACGCCACCTCATAGTACTGGTTATTGAAAGGCGGTATCGGAGAATAGCATTGACGCAATTAGCTTTAACTCCCTGAAAGATATAATCACCAGTCGTTTGGTAATAAAAAGCCTTCTTGAGGTTCACTAGTTGACTTCCAAACCAGTTTTCCGAAGGCTGCTATGTCCTCTGGTTTCTCTCCAGAACTGTGGATAAAGCGACCTCTGAGTTACCTAATACCGTTGTTAAGACATATTTGAAGCTCCATTTATGACTAAACTAATTCAGCAAGTTTCCCTACTTCAAGGAGTAAATAAACAGGACATTGGATTCAGGGAAACCCTCAATTCAGTCAGCTCCGGGGCAATAAATGTGGTAGCTGTTTTGTGCAGAAGGATAAGATGGGTATAGTTACTGCATGTAATATTACTTGTAGCCCATTCTATATATGTTGTCTCAGACTTTTAAAGCATTAAAATAAGGGTAGGATGAAGCCTCTGATATTAAACACTTAGCAAAGCTGTAGTCTATAACACCTTAGCCGAGGGTACAAAGGCCCGTCAAACTAAAATTTGAAAACGAAGAGGCTTAAAAGTTTATAAGGAAAATGGTTGATGAGTAGAGAAGCATATATATATATATGTATGGCGGTTACTTGATCGAGAACCTTCAACTACGGCTTTGTTCAGCAAAAATAGTATGTTCAGGATAGGTTCCGAAGACTAATAAAATTATTTATTTGGGCGGTTTATTTAGCATTAGAGGTAAAGTCAACTCGTTTACAAGTCTTAAATCGCATAGACTGAATAGTCTGCTATTTTATTTAACAGATTTTTAAGCCTCAAGTTCATGGCCGTATTTTGACTGTGTCTAAATAGCCGGAAGAGATTGTAGAGAAATCATTTGTTTTATGCTATCTCGTCGTTGAGGAATTGAGTATTGAATTTGGACCTTGAAATGGTTAGCGATTTAACCTAAGCGGATGGACGTCCGAGATGTTTTGTCGTTTGCGGTAGACCTTACTGCTTACATTATATATTTATTCAGTCACCAAGCCCCCAGTTAAAGCGGTCTTTGAAACCTCCTCCTCCACCATCTCTTCAACTTGAAGCAGATGCAAAACGACCTAAGGTCAGCGCTGATCACATATCCGCGTTTTCTGACACTTCATCCGATGTTGGTGATCTCGAAGGTAGTTTCCTTATTTAAAACCCACAATTAATACAAAATTTTATTAACTTGTGTTTTTATGGCTAAACAAGTATGGCGAATTCAGAAAGTAGCTTGCTGCTTCGTCCATTAGTGAAAAGTAATATATATATATATATATATATATATATATATATATATATATATATGGCACCACCATGAAGTATGAGAGTGGACGCAAGCTGCTGTCCGCCTTTCAGACTTACCTTAAGTTTTGGTAGCACCAAAAATGTGACATTGGCACTTATACTGCCCGTCAACTGACTTGTGATTTGAATATCCTGCTTGTCTACGGAGCGTAAAATGACGCATTACGTATAATGTAGTAAGGTCTTCATGAAATCACTCTTCAGTGACTACTCTTTTCTGAAGTGATTTAAGTTTCACTGATGGTTACTTAAGAAGGAACTTCAAGCTCAGGCGACAATTATTTGACCGTTACAAACAATCGCAGTGGTCGTTTGTTCCTCATTTCTAATGTGTTATTCCATCAAAGGAATTTCAATACGGTAAAAACGTCCCTAGCGTATTGTCGGACAGACGATGGGGTCGTACCAACCAAACTGAATTTAGAAAAGGTTGTTAACCTACTGTTCGAATTTGGTATTATTCCCACTCAAGGTGTATTTATAACAACCAGTAACAATTCCGATTCTTACTGATAACTTAGCAGTAGTAAGAAGTGCGAATTAATGTCAAACGAACTTATCTATCAAGTTACTTGTATTCCATCTCCAATTAAACAAATGTTTTTCTTATGAGTGTTTTTTGTTGTATTTCAGATTTTTCACGTCCTTTCAATGCACCGGATTCGTGGGATTCGGAAACAAACAATGGGCCTACTACTGTTGGAGCAAATGAAGTGACTGAGACTACTGTCCGTCGACTTACCGTTCTTCTTGAAAAACGTGCTCTAAGCAACCAGGAAGCTCGAACTAAGTTCCCTGACCAACCTAAGCGTTTTATGCAATCAGAATTGGAACTACAAGAAACACTAGAGGAGATGCAAGTTAGTATCCTGTAGTGTTTATGGTGGTTCTTAGTAATAAAAACCTGATTTTTAACTACTATGGGGAGTTTTATACGAGTTAAATATTGAAAATTATATTTTTCTATCATTGATGTTATGTAGTTCATAATCAAGGAAAGCGTAGTTATGGCCAACTTCCAGGTGCCATATTCTCTGTCTACATTGATCATTTTTTATTCAAGAGCGTTAAAATATATGTGCACATATCTAATAAGTTGTTATTGATTATGTCTGATATAATTGGGTTATATGACAGTTGGTTCACTTGTGAGCTTTCTTATTTTGTCGTAATATCAGTCATTCATTCAGACTAACAACATCTTTTGAGTTTTAAATTATTGTTCTCCCTAGTTTCCAGGATTTCGTAACAGTTTATCCATTGTTTACTAGTCAGTCTCTACATGACGTCTCGCGGTGGCCATGATGTTTACGAACTCAAGTGGACGAAAAGCAAACGTCCAGCGCTTAAATCGCTTTGGTGGGTACGAAGTATCCATCTAGCGGAGTTAGAAAACCCTGATCTCAAATGAACGGTGTACATGGGCTCCATAATCTTGACGAAAAATGGCGTATGAACCTGTTCTTGGCCACCAGCTACCACGGAACCTTATCTCCTAACGTTCCCCCACTGCCTTATGGATTAGATCTGAGTCAAAGACTCGACGAGTGGCCCCCTTAGAAAACCATGTGTTTCAGTTTGGGCATCTGGGGAGTATCCTAACCCCTACACAAAGTTTGTTCAGCATGTATATTTTAGTGTCAATGTTTGTTTAAATAAATAAAGTACATACCTCGTAGATAACTCAGAGACTTTATAGGTTGATTACACATGGTAGACTGAACACAGCCTTCTGTCAACCTACTTCTGTTTTTATTTATTAATGGATGTATTAGTCGATATTATTTTATCATGTATAACAAGTCCTCTAGCCACTTCTTTCAGAGTTCATAACTACTTACTGATCTGCACAATTTAAACAAAACTGTGTTTATGTTTAACTTTCTTCATACAATTATGATGATTATAAATTGATCGTAATAGTACAAATCCTCTTCCATTTACTTTTTCATTACTTCCATTTTTTCTCAATTCGTTTTTGTTGACTCACATGTTACTATTCCCTCTAACTGTGCTACTAATCACAAGTGCCTACTTATCGATCAGTGAATTTTTGTGCCTTGTCGATTGAGTTAAAACTCCCATTCATAAATCTGATAAAAAGGCTAATAGGATAAAGAAACAAATCTTTTGGACGATTTCCACTGATATGTATATTATTTACAATAGTAATTATAAAAAGACAGACTAAAAAATTCAGCGAATGTTTAGTTACAGTTTTGTAATACACCGACTCAGTAGATAATGTGACTAAGGGAGAGACATAACATTTTATAGGAACATAAAGATGAAGAGCATTTAGAGAAAAAGTTAATAAAAATTCCTTTTCACTCCGCACTGGTTCAGCTTAAATCAATGACCGAAGCAGAGAAATGGGTTGTACAAATTTTTTTGGACACAAAGGTCCAGTTAGTAGATGCGGATTTTAATTGCTTTGATGGTGTTCAAAAGAAAAATACAAAGTACTCAGTATGTTATATAAAATACGGTGAATAATTTGGAGTTTTATTCAATTATTTGATATTCTATGGTAATAAAGTGAACAGGAATACATCTCTTGATCGTCTTTAACTGTCCATTGCTCAACCAGGTCAGATAATGTTCGAACATAGGACGACGGACATGTTGCTATAGTGAGTTAGTTGGAGTCCACATAAATTATTAACGTTTGCCCGGACAGATTTACTTAAAAAAATTTAATAGCCGACATTAGTTTTTATTTCCCCAAAAACTGATTTATTGTTTTAACCTATGTTTTAGGTGCTTGCAGCCAATCCAGAATTATACCCAATCTTAGCAGAACAAACACGTCCCATATCACTATTATTAGGTTTATTGGCTCATGAAAATACAGATATTAGTTTATCTGTTATTGATCTGTTGCATGAATTACTTGAATCTAGTTGTTTACAAGAAGCTGGATTAGACAAAGTTAATCAATTTTTAGAAGTTTTGTTTTCTGGACAATTGATACAATCACTTATACAGAATATTTCACGTTTAGATGAGACGAAGAAAGATGAAGCTGACGGTGTGCATAAAACACTTGGTGAGTTTAACTTGTTAGATTGGTTATTGGTATTGGTTAAATTAAAATCACTGTCAGTCAGTCAGTTACAGCGTACAACCTCGTACGCATGTAAATAGGTTCGAGTTACTATGTCCCATTAGTACAAAGATAAAATTGTCAGGCCGAATCTCAGAATAGTAGAGGTAGTAACAGTATGATTGGTAATGGGGAAGATAAAGCATTGAAGATACGATCCGACAAGGAAATATAAATTAGTGAAAGAAAACAAAAAGAGTTATGAGGAATTTAGAATCTCAGAATTTGATGGAAAACAAAGAACGGATACACCTATGCCATTGCAAATAGTTTTGAGCCATGTCATTCAAAGTCTTTCAACATTGGTTGCGATAATTACGAGGGCCCCAACCAGGTAGTCTACGTCTATTGACACGGCTAGGTTCAGTTGTCAGTGGATTCATGGACTCGTTCCATGTTTTGGTTTGACTGTCCCTAACTTTCTTCCAACCTACTCCTACACCACTAAACATAGCCCGTCGAGGTAGGCGGTGGTTGGGAATACGTAACACATGTTCCAAACACCTTGGTTGACGATTTACTACCTCATCATTTGATTTCTCACATTTGCCTAGTACTCTTCTTAAACCAGACATTGCTTGCTCCGTGGTCCAAAAATACATGAGTAATGCTTCGTATACACCTGTCATTCATTCTATCTGTAAATAACAGTGTTGTGACGCCATGTGTCCAAGAGTTGATACTGATACCTAGTCTGCCTATATCAGCCCAACCGGCTACTCGAGCAAAAAACTGAAACTGAGAAAGTTTGTTGACGAAACCGACCCGACTGTACGTGTACGGATTCATATATATATATATATATATATATATATATATATATATATATATATTGGGAAACCAATCCCTCAAAAATGGAAGCTATTTGTTTGATTGGTCCAGTGTATGAGACAGGATATCCCCTAAATATTCTATTTAAATGGTTTTTAGTGCACATCATGTATACTAACATTAGCTTCAGCACGGAGCACTGAAAGCTTGTTTCATCTTAGCATGAAACTCCGCATCAGAAGTGATCACCTGTGACCTTATCAGGAATCGAGTCCATGACCTACAGGCCTCGCAGCCACCACGTCACATTTAGATCTAATAGTTTACATTTCTCAAGCCCAGGTATTTGTGCTCCCCAGCTGCGTAAATAAAAGTAATTCTGCTTACACAGATACTACATACACTGAACCACCGATCGTACATGCAAATGTACCATTAAAGGAGCCAATCAAACATTTTGTATTCTCTATAATAATAATAATGATTATAATAGTTATTATTATTATATGTCGTCCAAACCCAGAAACTCTCATGTTTAAGCACATGTGATGTGAAATCACAGCACACCATAAATACCAAGTCTCAATAAATACATAACTTGGAAAATTTGTAGTACAAAGCTGAGTAACAGGTTCATAGTTAATTTATGAATAGGAAAATATTTCGCAACAGTTAATGAGCCTAATAGAAACTTAGTATAATATAAAAATATGCATAGGGAATATATAAACTGACTCTCGCCGAAATAAATACAGGAAAGTGACATGCAAGTGAATTCCTATGCAGAGTGAAGTCATTGCAGAGAGATTTATATTAGTCATAAATGGTTTAAGATATAAGAATAAACATTTCTTCACCCAGAAGTGATGGTTAGCAACCAACTTATTATCGCCGAAGCCTGGGTCGACAGATTGTTCAACACATAATATGCATCGAAACAGTTTTTTACTAAGTAATGATAAGTTTGTTGATGACATAGTGAGTCTTCACTAATGGAGTTAGTTGAAACATGTAGAACGTGCGCTCAGTTACTGCCTACCCAGATGCGCGATATTTTTTTGGTGTTTGGGAGTAAGTTGAAAGTTAGGGGCTGCCAAATCAATACACAGCGTCATTGATTGTTATCCCGAGCCACATTATTACGTACAGACTACTTGATTATGATCCACGTGGTAACTTCGATCAGTGGTTAGAAATGTTGGGTGATATGGTTCAAAATCGCAATGACGTAGATGGATTCAATCTTTTTCTACCCCCGAGTTCAAAATTTATTTTAAATTGTTTATTCTTCTCTCGAATCTTATTCTCTGTTTCTTATTTTCTCCACTGTCACTGATAATATTACTACAATCGCTTCATTGCTATCCACCTTGATAATTTGAACTTATTTAATCGATATGGTATGGTAGCTGTGACAGGTCCTCTTACTGATTATGATTGACTGGTTAAAAGTAAAGTTAGCCCATGATGTAAACTATTTTTTCAAATTACACAATCTATGCAAATATCCAATTCTGATGATTGTTTACTCAGGTTTTGTTTTTTATCAACAACTTTGTTTTCTTTTTAATCCATTGTAAACGTTTCTCTCACTTTATTTCTAAATTCATTGATAGGAATTGTTGAAAGTTTACTAGAAATTCGTCCAGATATGAATGTGACAATGGCAAATCAAGGTTTATTTGCATGGCTTCTACGACGTTTACAAAAACGTCCAGTATTTGACAAAAATAAATTATACGTTAGTGAGCTATTATCAATCTTATTACAAATGGATGAAGCTAATCGTCGTCAATTAGGTGAAGTAGACGGTATTGATATATTGTTGCAACAATTATCTGTTTATAAACGACATGATCCTGGAAGTCAAGAAGAAATTGAATTAATGCTTAATTTATTCGATTGTCTTTGTAGTTCACTAATGTTGCCTGAGAATAAAGATAGATTTTTAAAAGGTGAAGGTATACAGCTAATGAATTTAATGCTTCGGTAAGTTAAATAGTTTTTATCAGTTTTATTGGTGGTTATTTTATTCAGTTAATACTTTCATTGCATTCTGGACCTCAGTTAGACAACCATCGATAACTAGATTGCGTTGGATATATGTTATATCCTAAACTCTTCATCAGTGACGTAGTTCTTGATACATTGGACCAGTCAGAAATTGGCTCTTCAGTTCTTGTTGTAAAAACGGTCGGGTTTACGATGGGTCTGTGAGAAAAGTTATAGTTTATGTTTGTGAAACCTACCCACTCTTAGCTTAGGGTGTTCAATGACGCTTGGTATTCGGTTATCATTATCTCTGAAGGATTGTTAGTGTCAGAATTAGTTTCACCTCATTTGTGCGCTGCGTATTTTCTTTTGGTTCCATGTCATGCCAGAATTTGTGTCCATCTGTACTATGGTCATCGAGTTTTAATCACATCACCTGAAAACTCTAACAAGTGAATCTTGATCAGACCGAGTGTACATCCATCAATACTTCTAGAATTAACGTCCTTTCATGTCTGGTGGTGTACAGGCATGTCGGGAATAGGACGGTTGTCACCAGTGTCGTTGGATGATCGCTGAGTTACATCGCGAGTTGATTAAAGTTGAGGTTGTACCATGGGATGCCGAAATAGCGGCTCCAATTTTTAAGAAATATCTACGTAATCCAAAAGTCCTATGCTCTATCTATAGTGGTGTCATGTATGGGGACCGACAAGGAGTCTCATACTAGGACGAAACAACTGTGCGATACTCCCTGGTTTCCAATCGCAGTCCAACTGAAATCAATATGTGATAAATGAAACACATCTGTTTTTAATTTTTTATCTCTGTAAAATTATCATTATTTTTTGTGTATATTCTAGTGAAAAACACATGTCTCGCGACAGTGCTCTACGTGTTCTTGATTATACTTTATGTCCTGTTTCACAATTAATGGATCAAAATACCAATGAATTACAATCACATCAAAAGTCTACTATCAATACAGTGGACCCTGAAGCTGTAGTTATAGCTAACTGTTCGAAGTTCATTGAAATTTTAGGTTTACGAACTATTTTCCCATTATTTATGCATTGTCCACGTGAACATGCACTTCGATCAACTTCGTCTGGATCAAAAACCAAGGTGAAAGTTATTAGTGGTCCTACTGCAGCTGAAATGGAAGAACATGTAATTAAGTAAGTGTTCACTATTCAGTTTGCTGTGCAGCAGTTCTCTCCTTTCTACTTTCTGGGTACGAACCAAGGTTATTAAGAATAGTGAATATTGGGTTACTAGTATTCAATCATAGGTATCTTCGAGGGATCAGTCTTGTATTTTGGGACCACCGAGTGAATAATGCCGAGGGTCAGACCCAGATTAGTAGGCGAGAGTGGCAAATCGACTGATCAGGTAGTGAATCTTGATCGAATGAGGTGGGTGGGACATGTGTTATGTTTGCTTAACCATCGCCTACCTCGACGGACTATGTTGTGTGGTGTAGGAGTAGGTTGGAAGGAAGGTAGAGACAACCAAATCTAGATATGAAGACACTGATTATTGAACTGAGTCATGTAGGTAGGCGTGAACTAACTGATTGGAGTCCGCGTGGTAATCGTAGCAATTGATTAGGAACTTCGGGTGACATGGGTTAGAGTTGCTCACAATAGGGCAAATGCATTCACTCGTTGTTTTCCCTTACAACTTAAGTCCCGAAATTTTCTTATACCCTGTCTTCCTTTTCTATACCTAATCTTTTTTACTACCACTGTGGCTAGTTTTTCTTACCTCTACTACTCGGATTTGTCTTGAAGTAATTTTGGCAACTTGGACCGATGTATATATGTGCCTGGTCCTACGTTGTAGCTGACTGACTGAAGTAATTTTTACCTCACTGTACCAATGTGATATGGCAACGGACGGATGCATGTATGTGCCAGGTTTTACGTTTCATATAACTGATTGACCAGTTGTAACTATTGATTACAGATGACATTACTATTATTTAATGAACTTCTTGAAACTTAACGAGGTAATAGCTTATATCGGCTGATTACTGAGTAAAAACCAATGTCGTGTTTATCTTGCACTTAATACTGATCGAATTCTGTTGATCAGTTTTCAATGTTAGTCGGCGCCGGGCTATCTCGGTGGTAATGTTTCAGGCTGTAATACTACGTACTTACTTACATCTGTTACCCCTCATAAAGGAGCATAGGCAGCTCACCTCCATTCGCCATCGAGCTATGTCCTGGGCAGTCCTTTTCAGTTGTTTCCGATTGCTATTCATCCTTTTCATGTCTGCTTTCAATTCTCGACAGTCTGTACTTTGGCCATCCTCTTTTTCATTTCCCTCCAGGATTCCAAGTTAGTGCTTGCTTGGTAATGCAGTTTGTTGGTTTCTGAAATGTATGCTTTATCCACTTTTAGCGTGTGCTCCTAATTTCCTGTTCAGCTGGAATTCGGTTTGTTCTCTCCCACAGTAGGCTATTGCTGATGATTTTGGGCCAACGGACATTGAGTATCTTACATACAACTGTTTATAAATACTTGTACGTTTTTGATGATGGTTGTTGTAGTTGTCGAAGTTTCAACTGTCTTCGTATTTAAGATTGTGACTTTGATGTTGGTTGACAGTTGTTTTGAGTTCCATGTGTTCTCGAACTGTAGGGATGCTGCCCTTGCTTTGTCAGTCATCGCCGTTACGTCTGCATCAGATCCTCCTTGTAACATTGGCTAAGGAGTATTCGAGTCTTAAGTGGTTAGGTTCTCTCAAGACTAGGATGAAAACAGTTCAGGATTTCCTGTCGATTACCTCTAGAAACATAACAAAGTAGTGAGTGTGTGTTCTACTTAATAGCTCCACTTTTTCCAACAGTAATGCACATAATCATTGTGTTAAGCTCTTAACCTATGTTTCACTGTTTTTTCTGCTTGTTCATCGTATTCTGAATGTGCTGAATTACGTCTCGCCGCACTTAATCAGTGCCGACCAGACTTGTATAGAACGCCTCAGTGGTGGACTAACGAATGTTTGCAGTTGATGCTTTGTTAATTTTCGATAACCGAGTTGAAAAGCTCTGGTTTTGAACCAATAGAGCACATGAGCTCCAGGATCTCGAGGGAAAGAATGAATCTACGTATCTGTTTTGGTCACCGGCTACCTTGCAACTGCGTTTCTCAGATTCACTCACACTACTTTGTGGATTGACCGTTTAAGCCAAAGGTTTTAAGTGTGATCCTCTAGGAAATTTATCTACTTCTAACTAAATGTCCAGGCAATATCTCAACCCATACATGTGGATGAATATCTTGAACTTTTTGAATAATCATTTCTTACCGCTACTCTTCGCAGATACGAAGATTTTGCTTTGTCATTCTACTAATCCCTTTGTTTCTTTTTTGTTTATACAGTATTATTTCCGCTTTGCTACGTCATTCACCTCCGGAAACTTTCAAATCCCGCGTTTTGGCTAAATTTGTTGAGAATGATCATGAAAAAGTGGATCGACTAATTGAATTACATTTGAAATACTTAGATATTGTTAAAGCAACCAATAGTAAAGTTGAAGCAATGCGAAGGGTAATAACGTCTTTCAGTTTTTCAAATTAGTGCGTTTTGTGTTTATGGTAGATGTCATTGGTAGCTAAACAACTATTAATACTCATCGGGCATGGGATAAGTATTTCGCCCCAGAATGGGGGTTCTTCATCAATGCGCTGTTATGCTCTGTAGTCTGTTTCAGTGATAGTACACACATCCTAATACTTGCCCTGTCAGGTATAAAGAATAAGAAGGTCGAAAATGCATAGGAATCTTTAGTCGCCAAATGGGAAACAGTAGTGTACATTAGTCACACGTAGATATATGTCATGTTCATCTGATATCTCGACAGGTATATATGAATGGTGATATAAGCCAAATGAGTAATTAATTCACATCAGGTTACTCAAGTTTGCGTTTCATACTTATCATTTGGCCTTGGGACAACATGTAACTTGTCTAACATTGAAACTAGTGACCTGTTTGGGAGGGTCTTGGATATCAAGTGCACAGTTTTGATCAGATTGAACCTAAAGCTCTCAAGCAAGTGTGTTACCTTTAGTTCACTGATTTAGAATCCAGTAGACTACATTTTTAACTTAAGTCGCTTCGCGATTTTGCACGACTTTTTACTGGGACTCTAAGAGTTCACTCATGGGGTTATCATATATACAAGACGGGAATTTCGGTTATGGATTATTAATGGGGAGATGTTTTGCGACTTATTCGTTCGACTCAAAGTATGTAAGGGAGCGTGGCTCCAGTCAACAACTTTTTGGTTAGAAAATCAATGCCTCCACCACTAATTGACTGTTCCTTTTTAAAATGTTTTATCTTAACCTACCATTTGTTCACTTAAATTATAATCTTCAAATATCACTGTTAAACTTTGAAACATGTTTGTAATCTTTCCTTTAAAAAATTCCTAGAACGAGAAAAAGTGGATCGGTTATACTCGGGAAGAAGTGGAAACAGAATTAATGCTCAAACGTCTAGAAGGTGGACTATTGCCACTACAAGTTTTGGATGTTATAATTCTCGATGTTTGTGTTAACGGTGCACCAACGGTGAGCACTTATTTTCCTTTCTATAATTTATTTTAAATTACTTAAATAGTTCTAGTAGCATGTATTGTATGCTTAAAATAATGCTAGAAATCACTAAAATAAAACTGATTCCATATGCTTTCTCACTTTCAATAGTTGTTTTTAATTTGTTGATCAATCCACAATGTGAATTTTCTCCGAATTAATTAATCTCTATGAACATTTTCTTCATCTTAACAATAAGAATCAGACGTTAACTAGTGTGACCTACTTCAACTCAATGCTCTCGAAATCATGTACTTAGTTGCCGCGACGAGGTCTTGTATTCCACCTCACTGGGTTTTTGATTATCTAACTTTGAAGAAACCCATATTAAAAAAGATAAGCGTCCAGTAGTTTTCCATTTTCAGTGGTTGTTTAACTAAATTCAGTTGGTAATGTAAAATGTCTTTAAATCAATATTTGTTCGATTATTTTCCGAGTTTGTATATCTCTCACTAGCTAATCTTATATCCGAGAATGTATTACATATTAACTTCGAAGCAATAAACTTGTGACAGAGAGAATATCACAATTCAGTCGTAAAGTTGTATAAATTTGTGTACTGGTGTATCTAATGAGTTTTATTTATTTAAACGCATAAATATTGGTACAAAGGGGCACCGAATACATATGCACCACACAAGTCACTTGACTTGTGTCTGGTATGTGATACTGCTCGGGTGCCCAGACCGAAGCAGTTGGTTTTATTAGGAGTCCACTTCCCTACCCTATCACTTAGAGGTCTAATCCATAAGGCAATGGAGGAACGTCATCAGGAGATGCAGTCCCATGGTAGCCAGTGACCAATAATTGGTTCCCATTGTGAAAATTAGAACAACACATATAAGCGAATAATTGTTTTCAATTAGATCGTCATCAGGCTTTACTCTAATATACATGAATATTTATACGAAAATGTCAAACCAATCAAGGCAATATGGGTCAATCATCACAATGAAATAGAATAAGTTACCACACATTATAGGTAAAATTCATGTTGATAGTAGGAAGATAGGTGTACTGATAGTAGTAAGAATAATAAAATATGATCACAAAAGTCTTATCAATAGTTAAACGTTGGAAATAGAGGGTCAAACATGGGTAGTCATCACAAAACATTAAAATCATTACGTAATAAGAAGTATGTAACAAATTAGATAGTGAAGAATACAAACGGAAAGAGGCGGAGAACTACAAACAAATACAGGATGTGAAAATAAGGTTAATGATAACACAAATAGAATAACATAAGTAAATGATAATAAAAATTAGAAAAATCGTGGCCATGGAAGGGATGGGGGGTTACGAATTTCTTCTGTACACATAAATTGGGGTTATATGTACGAATTCCCGCATCCTACATATAGCTTAATCCATAGGAATTCGTTAGTTACTCTAGTAGTACATCATTACTATTCTCCATAGATATTTACAGGTGCATATGCTACACAAAATTGTGGTCCTTTCCAGCTTTTAGGAAATTAGATGAATCTACTGTCGAGCAGTTAGTTCACAATAGCATCTTTATATGTGAGGTGGTAGTCGATAGTAAACCCTGAACTTAGGTTTCTTACTAGTTGGTACTCGTTATTAAACTCTACCTGTAATCTTAAGGGGAATGATGCTCTATGGAGCGGATTCAATTCCGTGTCACTCAGCTTCACAGTCTGAGACGTACTCAGGCTGTGAATGACCTCTTGTAGTATTTCGATGTATTTACGACTGAGTGGTCACTGAGTATGACCAATATCATCCAAGTCCTTAATACTGATCCAATTCTATCGGTCATATTTCATTGTAGCCACCAGTCTGGGTAACTTAACATCACGTGCAGTGTGTTGAGATGAGTCGGTGGTTCAAGTTAGTTGATAGGAAACCCTAGATTTAGGTTCAAAGTGATGAATCAATTGCAAAATGCTCCCATATACTTAAGAAATTAGATTTGTTAATTAAAATCTTTTCATCACAAGAGTGAGAGAGGTTGTATTGCACAAAAAGTGCATTTAATAAAATTATACTATCCTGAAGACCTTGACCGATTTATCAGTCAATTAAAAAACAGTGTTTAATTATGAGGCAATTAACAATAAAAAGAAATAGAATTACAATGAAGTAGTGGTTTTCATATGAATAATTAATCCCTACGTGTTGAATTACTCTTTATAAATAAAAGAAAAGAAGTTAACACATTAGGAGTGAGTGTTAACTTCGTAATCCTACAAGGTTTTCGTTACCTAATATCTATCTATCTAAACACATAAACATTGGTACAAGGAGGTACCGAATACGTATGCGCCACATTTCGTCATTCGATATGTATGAAGGCTGGAATACTGCCCGGACGCCCAAACCAAAGCAAGTGGCTTCCTTATGGGCCCACTCTTCGAGCCTTTCACCTAGAGGTCTAATTCACAAGGTAGTAGGGCAACATTAGGAGATACGATCTCATGGTAGTCAGTGGCGAACAATAGGTTCACATGCCATTTGTTCCTCCTGGATCCCATGTACATCATTGGTTTGGAATCAGGGCTTTCTAACTGCCCTAAGTAGATCCTCCATATCCACTAGCCCGGTTAAAGCGCCGGACGTTCGCTTTTCGTCGTCTCAATTTCGTAGACAACATCCCCCCCCCGCTACGAGAAGACAGTTTTTGTCACCAAATAACATCATATGTCATACAGTGATGCGTTCCCGCTTTTTTGTTTACAAACTTCAAAAAGATTATGGTTTTATGGAATTAGAAGTTATAATGGAAGATAACTATCTAGCTATATTAACACTCTTGACTTTGCTTTGAGTCACATCAACTACTTTAATACACTCTCCTCATTAACAGCATATATTTCTTGTGATTTGAAATATTACACAAAAATCCATAAATTGTTATTTTAATTCTCGATTGGTCTATTCAAAGTTGTCAGTAGAGGGGTTATACTTTTACCGTATATTGAATTTATAGTTTCCTTTTTATTTAGGAAAGAAACTGGTCTTTTCTCCTATATTGATGTATATAATAATTGTTGTATTTATTTTTCCTATTTTTAATCATGCAAAAAAATAGATTTTGGAACGTGTACTTCATCTATTGAAAATGCGATCCATCTCAATAAACTCTGTACTTGATACAGTTCAAGGTTTGTTTATTTTGAGCTTTGTTTTTGTTTTTGTTGTTGTTGTTGTTGAATTAAAGAAAAGAAACTTAGACATTCCATCTGCTCTCATTAAAAGGGTCCTCATCTATTTATTTATTTAAACACAAACATTGGTGCAAGGAGGCACTGAATACATATGCGCCACACAGATCTCATTTGATATGTGTGAGGGCTGTGATACTGCCCGGGTGCCCAAACCGAACCACGTGGTTTTCTTAGGGGGCCACACTCGGAGCCTTCGACCAGAAGGTCTGATCCACAAGGCAGTGAGGCACCGTAAGGAGATGCAGTCCCATGGTAGCCGGTGACCAACGATTGGTTCATACGCCATTTGTTCCTTCAGGATACTGGAGCCCATGTGCACCATTGGTTTGGAATCCGGTTAAAGGGCCGAACATTCGCTTTTCGTCCTCTCAATTTCGTGAACAACACCCCCGCCACGAGAGGGTAGTGAGTAGGACTTCCCTGGCAGAGGCTATATACGCGTGGCCATGTGAGAGCATTTCGAGAGGGGGGCTGGCCCACCCCACTCTTGGCCATACCAGGGCATTTGTGGGCAAAATGTGCAATGAAAAGATGTTCGAGGATTGTTAAATTAATAGATGAAAGGCTTTAATTGACTGGTGATATGTAAGTACACAGTATGACTCAGTGATAGCTGTTCAGGTGATTGGATTATTGGGATAAAACATCTCTGCCCCGCTCGTGGAAGATAAAGTAGCTAGCTACCCAGTGGAATAGGTTTACTCTTTTAACAAAATAACACGCTTATATACAGGGCATTGGATACAAGTATCAAGATAATTAAAAGTCATTGAACAGATGAACAATTAAAGGGTATAACTATTGTAGGACGTTTATTTCTTTCAATTGAAGTCCCTCTCCCTCATATAAAGGAAGTAAGGGGAAATTGCAACACGATCCCCAGTAACTTCTATTTTGAGCCATGTCTTATAATATCTTAAATCACTGTTGCACTGTATCTAAGACCCTTACCAAGAAGTCGTGAAGGATTGACAGATGTCATTCTTGTACAGCCTTCTTTCATGCCACGACACCATATCATAAACTGGTCACCCCTTCGCTTTTCACAGTTAGTCCTAGCGTGGGCAAATAATTCACGATGTGGAATTGACTAGAACGGCATTGATAGCATATGTCCAAGCCACTGAAGCCGGTATTTTAAGGTGATAACAATAACTGGATTATTGTCACTGTGTGGTGCATGCTAATTATGTCCACAGATATAAGTAGTATGTAACGCCAATCGGAATTGGAGTGTTTACCAGCAGAAGATTGAATTGAAGAGGACAGGAAAGGCAACAGAGAGCAGTTGGAATAACAGCAGAAATGAAAGAATCATAAAGTTTGTAAAGGACAACGGAAGGAAGATGTGGAAATAATGTTATTTAATGTATAGTTTTCATATTTAGCGACAGCAATCTGTAATTTTACACTAAACAATTGATTGGTTTTCCCCATCTGAATTTTGTTCACTACAAGTGAACCTGGAAAAACTTTGGTGAACCTCTACATTAATAACATGGAGTCACTCTCGAGTGCCAGCAATCCTTCAGATACAACCATGATTGAACACAATGACTTGCCTAACATCCTCAACTTTAAGACGCTGGTTTTCACAAACATAGAGCAAACCTTCTCACATCGACGCGTTGTAAACCCGATCAGACTAACATGTGACGTTTTGAAAGATAGTCCAGATTGTCATAGACCATTCTGGCTCTCACCATACGTAAATTGATGAATCGTTGGTAGTTACACTGCTGGTACCTAATTACAGATTGGAACTAGCTGTGTGTGTTTATTTCACTCTGACCAACCGCATAATATGACCAACCCTCAGTTGAAATACAGACTTCCTAGTTGAGATGAAGGAACTGGAAAGGATTGTTCAGGATAGGTGTCGCTGCCAACTAGGAACGGGGAAGGGTGCTGTTCTTCGGACCTGGAGCTTGGGTACTAGCTGGGGCGGTCTGGTGCGGGTAGGGTGACGTCAAGTGGAGTGTTCTGGCGGGACAGCGTCGGGTGTAGCTGGTGCTGTCGACGGAGGGGAGCAGTGAGACGTGTGGCTGCTAGGCGGACATTGGATGTGGATGGTTCAGCAGGTCTCTGGAGTCCAGACGTTGAACGTCCCGTGTATCGGGTGGATATCGGATTTTGGTGTCCTTGCGGGTCGACAGAACTGTGGAGGTCAGCGCTCCACAGACTCGACATTTTGGTGGAGGGCGTGACACAGACTGCAGAGAAGGAGAAAGTGGCACAACGAGCAGAACCACCGCAAGAACAACTTATTTAAAGGGTGAACGTGTATTGTGTGCTACTGGTTTCGATATATATTAGTAGTATGCATCATTAGTCGAAAGTGAAATTCCTGGCTACAGAAGGTTAAGAAGATCGAAGAAAAGAGAACGAGAACAGAGAATGATTGGTGTGGAAACAAAGGGACAATAAAGTCTGAGACAATTGATTGATATTTTGCAAATGACGTATTTACTATATGGTTTTCAGATTTAACTAAGACGTTCTGTAATTATGTGTTTAACACCATTTTGGTTGTCCCCACTTGTGTTCTCGTTCACAACGCAGGGTTGGATGGAGAGTGCTGGTGGGCGGTCTATGCTCCTCTACGAGAGGTAACAGACGTAAGTAAGTAAGTTAGTTGACATGAGTCGACCAATATAGTTCTCTCTATTGAGTATTCCGTAGTGTAATAAACGTAAGGTATTGGATAAACCGGTCATTATTATTATTATTCTTAAGATATAACTAATTAGTATTCCGTTTCATTTTTTTTCCATTAATTTCAGGATATGTGAATAATTTAGGCGAAGAATCAACTACGGGGACATCATTATCTGAGAAAACTCGGGTTATGAATCTCTTAAAGAAATTTAAAGAACTGTTAACAAGTTAACATTGACGTTGACGTTTTATATTTCATAATTTAATTTCATTAAAAAAATATACATATGATTATCATAATTATATAATGAAATTTTACATTCATTAGTCATTGATTATTGGTATTAGTAGTAGTAGTAGTAATAACCAATGTTATAATTATGTAATTATGTTAATGGTGATCGAATTTTATCGATCAAATTGGAATAAAACCACTAATCTGAGTAACTCAACATCATGAGAACTATTAGTTTAATGTTAAGTAGTTGAGGTAGTGGGCCCAAATGCCCTGGTACGGCCGAGAGTGGAGAGAGTCCGCCTCCCCTCTTGAAATGCTCTCACATGGCCACGCGTATATAGCCTCTGTCAGGGAAGTCCTACTCACTACTCTCTCGTGGCGGGGGTGTTGTTTACGAAATTAAGAGGACGAAAAGCGAATTTCTGGCACTTTAACCGGGTTAGTGAACATGGAGAGTCCATCTAGGGGAGTGGGAAAACCCTTATTCCAAACCAATGGTGTACACGGGCTTCAGTATCCTGAAGGAACAAATGGCGTATGAACCAATCGTTGGTCACCGGCTACCATGGGACTGCATCTCCTTACGATGCTCCACTGCCTTGCGGATCAGACCTTCAGGTCGAACGCTCCAGGGTGGCCCTCTAAGAAGACCACCTGCTTCGGTTTGGGCACCCGGTCAGTATCATAGCTTTCACACATATCAAATGAGATGTGTGTGGCGCATATGTATTCAGTGCCTCCTTGTACCAATATCTATGTGTTAAAATAAATAAAGTTGAGGTAGTTGTCAGGAAAAATTTCAAATCCGGGTTTCGTGCCTGTTTACACATTTTAACAAGGTGTACGTGTAATATTCAAGGATTTGATGGAATTCAAATCAGCGTCACTCAGTTTCGTAGTTTAAGATATTATCGCTGATCTATTTAGCTATCAGAATATTTACACATATTGATGTCTGAAGAATAACCAATGTCATGCTTGTCTAATTACTTTATTTTCTAATCAGATTCTATTGACCAAGTTGAAATATATGATTACTAGACTAAATATCTTGCTTCTTGTACACAAAGTGTTAAAATTTGATGGTTAAAAGTAATTGTAGGGTTTTCTTTTAGAACAAAAACTTCATTCTCACATATCAATCTTTTCAAAAGCAGACGATGTAATGTGTATGACGTGTTATGATACCTTCTTCAGACAGTTCGTTTTTCTTACTTTAATATTACTGATGATTTAATGTTTAAACCACTTGGTTTATTTATCCTCGAGCTATACCAACGGTTCCGAATCACGATTAACCTTCAAATAAGCAGAATAGTCCAGAACCGAGTAGAAATGTGTGTGTGTGTGTGTGCGTTTAGTAAATATGACACTTGAGAAGATATACATAATACTGAAGATAACGGAAAGAACAATAATTACAAAAGTAGTGATAGTTCCTGATAAGAAAATAACAACCACTTTTCATATTGAGCTAGTTGACATTATCTACTTCTTGCAGTGTATTTTTCATCTATTTATTTATTTGAACACATAATTATTGGTACAAAGGGGCGCTGAATATATATGCGCCACACAGGTCACTTGGTTTGTGTGTGGGCTGTGTTGTTGCCCGGGTGCCCAGATCGAAACAGGTAGTTTTCTTAGGGGGACCACACCCGGAGCCTTCGACCTAAAGGTCTAATCCACAAGAGAGTGGAAGAACGTCAGGTGATTCAGTCCCATGGTAGTCGGTGACCGACAATAGGTTTACACGCCACTTATTCCTTCAGGATCTTGGATCCCATATGCATCATTTATTTGAAATCAGGTTTTTCAAACTCCTCTTGGTGGACCTTCGTGTCCAACAACCCGGTTAAAGCGCCGAACATTTGCTTTTCGTTCTCTCAATTTCGTAAACAACACCCCTGCCACGAGAGGGTAGTGAGTAAGACTTCTTTGGCAGTGGTTGTATACGCGTGGCCATGTGAGAGCATTTCGAGAGGGAGAGGTGACTCTCCTGACACTCCACCTTACCAGAGTATTGTAAATCGGTAAATCAAAAGCAAGGTAGAGCTTAGTATATGCATGTGTTAGCGCAAAGACATAAATAATAAACTAGTAATATTATTGACGGTATAGAAAGGAAGGAATGAATTCGCACAATAAAAAAGGAAGGGCCGAAATTGATCCATCTTTGACATTTTAACCGATTTCTAGTAGTGTTATCTAATACCTCCAATGATTGATAAAAAAAATCGCATAAACCTCAGTCAGATCATCCGCATTTAACTAAACGGTTCAGTCCAACAATCAGTGAGATTTCATGAACCGATTTCAATTAATTTGGTCGCACCTAGTTTTCTTTATATAACTCACTAATCAAGTATAGATTTGTGACAAATTCCACAATGAGCCTTATTATTGTATATATCTTTACAAGTGTTACTTGACTTGAACTGATCACCTGGACTGATCTAAGTGGAAATGACTTCAAACTTGTAACTGAATTCATCAACTAGTAGACCTACTACTGTAGATGTATACACTAATTATATCCTTACGGATTTATTTCTACTATTTATGGAATGTTTCTAAATTAAAATCTCTATCTTATATAACTTTAGAAAATTCGAATCGTAGGTAACGTTGGTCAATTAGTCAACAAAAACGTAGAACTTCGTACGTACGTACATCAGTTCAAGCTGTCATACCACATTAGCACAGAGATACAGTTGTCGATTCAAATCCCATAGTGGTAGAGGTAGTCAAAGTATAAGCAGTAATCGGAGAGATTAGAGTTTGAAGATGTTATTCACGGACTATAATACAGGGAAATAAATTTGGAAAGAGAAAAAACAAAGGGACATGAATAATTCAGAAGATTCGAATTTATGAGAACACAGAGTGGGTGCACTTGCGCCATTGTAAGCGATTTTGAACCATGTCATTCAGGGTCTCTAACCATCGGTTACCATCGTCTCACGGTCCCCAGCCAGGCTGTTTACATCTACCAACATGGCTCAGTTCACTTGCCAGTGACTTCATGGATTTGTGCCATGTTTTGGTCTGGCCGCTCCTAACTTTCTTCCAACCTATTCCTACCCCATAAAACATCGCACGTCGTAGCAGTCGGTGGTTGGGCATAAGTAACACATTTCCCAGCCATCTCAACTAATCAAGTTTCACTACTTCATCAATTAATTTGCCATCCTTACCTAGTACCCGTTTCCTAACAACTGAGTTACTTACTCCATGGTCCCAGGATATACGAGCAATGCTTCAAAGACACCTATGATCAAATACTAGTAACCTACGAATATCCTCTACTCTTACCGGCCATGCCTCACAGCCATAAAGTAGGACAGAACGAACTGCTGCGCAGTAAACCCGTCCCTTGGTTGGTAGATGGATGTCTCGCCTACGCCATAAATGACGTAAGTTGGCACTGGAATCCACAATAGATATATTTCCCGAAGAGTAATCAGTAATTTACCCTTGACGTTGCTTTCAACACTAAGTGTCTCGTATCCAGCACTGTTAGTTGCTTTTTCTCCCATTTAGTGCTTGAGTACTGCAAATTAAAGAGCAATTTCCATTAGGAATCTCACTTCAAGTCTTGGCGTTTACTAAATCTATGTATTTCATCTGGCTTCTCAAGGTTCTATATACACAACATATCCAAAACAATTAATTATAAATAATTCCAACTTAATATCTTGTTTACACTATGTATTATTGGTAATTGGATAGTGGTTGTTTAGTGGGTAAACACTACATGACTTTCAATCAATAAATCCCAAGTTCGAGCTCTTCCACTCTATTTATTTTAGTCTCATCAACACTACCAGATTCTATGTGAGGGCTTGTCACAAGACAAGCCCTCACATGGAATCCTCAGGGCCAAAGGAAATGAGGAAGACCAAAGAACACATTACTTTGAGAAATGGAGATAGACATGAGAAAAAAAGAACAAGGATTGAATGGAAGTCAGTCAGTCAGTCAGTCAGTAACAACGTAGAACTTCGTACGTACGTACATCAGTTCGAGTTGCCACACCACCTTAGCACAGAGATGCAGTTGTCGATTCAAATCCTGTAGTGGTAGAGGTAATATGAGTATAAGCAGTAATCGGGAAGATTAGGGTTTGGAGATGTTATCTAAAGAGTATAATCCAGTGAAATAAATTTGGAAAGAGGAAAAAAGGGATATGAAGAATTTAGAAGATTAGAATTTGGGAGAACACAAAGAGTGTATGCACCTGTGCCATTGCAAACGATTTTGAGCCATGTCATTTAGGGTCTCTAACCATCGGTCGCTATCATCTCGTGGTCCCCAACCAGGAAGTAGAAAAGAAGGCTCAGGACAGAATGGGTTGGAGAATGCTGGTCGGCGGCCTATGCTCCATTAGGAGTAACAGGCGTAAGTAAGTAAGTAAGTAAACACTGTCAGTTTATTATCACAAACATATAGAATAATGATACGTCAAAATCGATTATGTAAATATGTACTTGATAAATGAATTAGAAACTTCATTTATATACTCTATACCTTCCTTTCTACCAACTAATTCTTTCTTCCTGTATTATATCCTTATACACGATCTTCTTCCTATGTATATTACCACCACCACCACCACCACCACTGAATTAACTCCTATGAATTCGTTGTTCATCTTGTTGTGCTAATGCGATATGCCAAATTGAACCAATCCACATATGTGTTTAGTCCTACGTTGTAACTGTCTGACTGATTAATTAATTAACTGACTTTAGATTTTAATTAGAAAAGCTTGAATTCTGCCTATAATCAATGTAGAAAAAATTTCTAAACCAAATGTGCTTTATTCATCCAAATATAATAAAGTGTAATTTTCACATTATGAAACAATCTAAACTATTTCTGTCTTCATTTTATTGATCCGTTTTCTTTTCTCTCTCTCTCTCTCTCTTAATTCCATTAGAATCTGATCTTCATGAATGTGTATGAGTTGTAAATAGGATAGTTCTATACATCAATATTGTAGTTGTATGTATATTGTTCTAATGAAGTGATAATAAAGTTAAGTTATTCATTCTTATCAATGTTATATAGTAACAAGAACTTTTTTCTGTGTAAGTGTATTAGTTTATAAAATGTAAAAGGTAAATGTTTATGCATATTATACATACTTCTTTGTTGTTATGATTGATAAATAACGGTTGCTATCCATTTGAAAGATAGTATATTTGTTCAGGCTTGGGTTCGAACTCTGGTTTATCTGTTTCAGTTTGTGGGTACTGGTTAAAATGTAATTCGAATCTAAATACATACTTAGTGTATGAATTAGTTAAAGAATTATTTATTGACTGGCTTCAAGAGGTATTTCCTCTAGTTCTAGTGAGAAGCAGTGATCAATAGAGTTCAATCAGGTCTGTTGTGAGATAGTAATTCACGGAAGAAAATAGTAGATGTGTGTTATAACTTTTGACCGCCGATTAGAGGGTAGTGACTTATCGATAGGACCAAGGACGCGTAAAACACGTGCGGGCAGCCTAGAGTCCTGATTGGTCCTGGTTTCCTCCTAGTCCAGCCAGTTAAGTCCAGAACACCAGTCGCAGCCTCTGCAATATGAATCATTATATTTCAACCATACTGAGTTTGTATATCAATCAAACAGGCCACAACGTAGCATAAATGGAGAATAACATTTATACCAAGTTTGGCCAAATGTAGCTGTGAATGTGGTAGGCAATAACTAATTAACAGGGCATAATTCAAAAATGGTAAAACGTATAATAATGGTTCATAGGTCAAAATAAAGTTTATAATAAGAGGAATATGAATATGAATAGTTTAGTTATTTAACAATTATACGATAAAAATATACGTTTAGTATTGGTCCATAGAAGGATCCCAAAGTTACCATTCATTATGTTTATCGGGACCTAACAATGTGTCGCTCAATTTCATGGATTGGTTGAAGTTAGACATTAACACCGTTAGATGCCGGTCAGTTCAGTGGTCTATAGATTAAGCCTTCGCCGCGCGAGATCGATTAGTCCTGGGTTCGAATCTTGCGAGGTGGCATCGTGAACGCGAACTACTGAGGTGTTCAATAATAGGATGAAACAGCCGTCCAGTGTTTCCAGGTTTTCCATGGTGGTCTAGCTTCAATTGATTTATGATCTTAACTATTAAAATTAATTAAAGTCAAGAATTATAACAGTCTCATGTTAAGTTTATGGAGGTCACTGTTTAGTTCGAAGTATTGAATGTGTCTCATTGATTACCATCAAGTTTTGGAGAAATCACAAAACCATCTTGTTGGTGTTTTCTAATTTTAATCAATTTTACAATGAAAAGGAATTATTATCATTCCTCTATTAAATAAAAGGAGCCTAATCAGATGCTTGTATTAACAAACCAGATCCCAGCGGAGGAAGAAATTAGGAAGAAGCTCTGGAAGTGGATAGGACACACATTGAAGAAAGCATCCAACTGCGTCACAAGTCAAGCCCTCACATGGAATCCCTAAGGCCAAGGGAAAAGAGGAAGACCAAAGAACACATTACGCTGGGAAATGGAGAGAGACATAAGAAAAATGAACAAAAATTGGATGGAAGTAGAAAAGAAGGCCCAGGACAGAGTGAATGGGTTGGAGAATGCTGGTCGGTGGCCTATGCTCCATTAGGAGTAAAAGGCGTAAGTAAGTAAGTAAGTAAGTAATCAGATGTTTGTATTAACTGCTGTGATACTACTGTCAACCTTCCTATTTTACATTTGATTGAACTGAAGAGTTATGAATTATAACTGTATAATGTATAATTAAATGAAAACATCACAGTTGTTGAGATATTTGTAAAAAGCTATCAGATATATTTATCACAGAGGACTATCTTGAAAGGAAAGTGATGTTTTCTATGCATCACCAGTCACTGAGCTATTCTAAAGATGATCAAGTGTCTTTAAAACTCTCATTTGAACATATAAATGATGTAATCTTCTTTATTGAAATGAAGTGTAAAAGATCAGTTGTGCTGTTGACTTCAACCTCGATGGTTTACTGGTGAAGTTTTCCTTGTGATTTTGAGCAAAATCATTAGCGCTTAATACACGAAGGGTTGATATGTTTACTTATTCCACAAGTGATAAAAAAACTTGTTCCGATAACTTTGTTTAAAAATAGTCATCTTCGGAGGTATTATCAGCTTCATTTCTTTTTGTATTTCTGTTGACTGTCTTGTTTGGCTGACCTCTTCCTTCATGATTGTTTTACATTTACCATATAGATCGGTAACTAGGCTCCATATCGATATACTTATTGATTGCAGCTTAAATTTGAATTCCAAACTTCCAGAAATTCCCATGTTTGTCTCCATACGTTGATATCAGTGATAAAATAGTGTCGTTTTATTGTTAATTTGTGTTTATGTCTTTATAGATTGAAGATAAGTATCGTAATCATTGACGATATGCCAAACGACAATAAAACCTTCATAATAAAACTATCGAGCTAAGAAAAGAAAACAACACAACGAAAAACATCCACTTAGGCTACAAATATTCACCATCATTTGAAGAAGTGATAAGTATTTTGTAGACATATCATTCATCGGAAAAGAAGTTAATGTTAATGTCGGGGACGTTAGATTCTCAGAACTCACTTGAAAAAGGTCTTAATTTAGTAATTTTATTTTGAAAATTTGAAGTTCTTTGTTTTCGCGCCAAAAGCGCTCTTTTCACCTCAATGTTGTATTTCCCATTTGGGAGAATCCTAAACAATATTGGTCCGTTGTATCTTTTAGTATGCTACTTTGTAAAGCTTCCCAAGGACGATTTTGTGCTGTATATATATACGTTTTGACTTGTGTCTGTTGTTATCGCTTGTGCTTTTTGCTTTTTGTGGATTATACTTCTCCGTTCGGACTTCGACTTCTCTCTCTAGTTAGAGGGGCTGGATCGCAATAGAATACCTAGTTATTAGTCTTGGGTCACAAGTCTTTGTTCCGCCCGCAATTTAAGTGAACTCGTAACCGCTTCAAACCTAGCAGTTAAATAGAACTGAATGAATTTAAAATTTTTATAAAAAATGTACTGTGTTTTTTCCTGCTGTATACAACTGCATTCAATATAATAGGTATGATGTATGCGTACTAATTTAATGTCAAGGTTTGGTAACAAGGTCGCCTACTTGAATATCTAGGCCACTTTTTCCTGCCATCTAGATATTTCGACATATCACATTACTTTTGTTTGTTTTAACATATCAATATGTTTATTAGTCGCCAGGGAGCACCAGTTCCCTCATGGTTACAGGTACACTTTGCTGACGAGTGCCAAGTAGCACGAAACACGGGTCCAGGGTTTCCTGTTGACTACCTCCAACCACCATCTAGTCGCATAACTTATTGAGTCGCGTTTAAGTAAAGTTTACGACCTTTCTCTGTAAAACTTACAAAAAAGTACAATCAGAGACATTTTGATGGCTGGCTGACAATATACATCGAAAAGAATGTACATTATTCAGATATCTATTTCTTAACTGTTAACATCTAACTGATGATCATTCAATATTTATCGTCAAAATTGATCAAGAAATAAGAAATAGAAACTTGTTGATATACTTTGTGCTGAAAATTCTAACTTTTATCGTTGGATGTCCGCTAGCTCAATGTTTTAGAGGTTAAGCGTTCGCGTGTGAGATCGATAGGTCCTGGGTTCCAAATCCCTCGAGCGAGATCGTAGATACGCGCTGCTGAGGGGTCCCATAATAAGATGAAATGGCCATCCAATGCTTCCAAGTTTTCAAATGGTGATCTAACACCAATCGGTTCATAATCTCAATCAAAAATATAATATTGAATAAAGCTCACTAATGACTAACTTTGTGATAGAATTCTCAGAGTTCTAGTAAGAAGACCAGTGGAATTAATCCGTGTCGGGTAAAAACAAGTATCTACGTCAAAACAATGGAAGATGGTTGCACAATTTCATTGATCAGCTGAAGTTCGACATGAACACTATTAGATGCCGGCTAGTTCAATATTCGCGAGGTTAAGTGTTCGCGCATCTGAGATCAATAAGTTCTAGGTCCGAATTTCGCGATGCGAGATCGTAGATGCTCACTGCTGCTAAGAAGTCCCACAATAGGATAAAAACGGTCATCCAATACTTTCAGGTTCACTTAGACTGCAAACGGAACAAAGACTTGTGACCCAACACCAATAATAAACTATTCTATTGCATCCCAGCCCCGCTAACTAGAGAGAGAAGTTGAAATCCGAACGGAGAAGTATAATCCACAAAAAGCCAAAAACACAAGCGATAACAACAGACACAAATCAAAACGTATATATATATACAGCACAAAATCGTCCTTGGGAAGCGTTACAAAATAGCATACTAAAAGATACAACGGACCACTAGTGTTTAAGATTCTCCCAAGTGGGAAATACCACTTGGTGAAGGTGAAAAGAGCGCTTCATTATTATTATATTATTATTATTATTATTATTATTCCTTCTTTAATTCATTCAACTTTAACATGTTCATTATGACTATTATATACACGATATATAAGATTACATAATATCCAATTACATAATTTATAAGTGATATATAATCCACTAATGATTATTATCCCATAAATGAATCCAATTATTATTATTGAATCATTATGTAATTGTAATAATAATAATAATGAAATCAATTGATGATACCACTGGATAAAGTATAATCTGATTTCATCTTTAAATAAATATAAATGTAATAATAGAATACAACTTAATGTGAATAATCCAAATTGTTTAGTTGAATAATGCATTTGTTCTTTTTTATACTCAAAAATTTACTCAAATATATATATGAATGAAATATTTTTGTATTTTTACAAACCAGTCTCTTTTTTGTGCGTTTTTTTGTGTTTTTGTTTTGGTGTTGGTATTTTGTTTTATTATTACAGTTCCATCAATCAATAATGTGAATGAGTGGGTGGGTAGGTGATTGGTTGGTTTAATAAATGGACCAATAGAATTTAGGTGTTTTTTTCTAAAGTTGATTTTGATTGGCTGATTTATTCAGCCAATCAATGGTTTAGTTGGTAAGTTTAATCAGATATAAATCACAAGGTTAAGTGCAATGATAAGAGTTCTTGTTAAGGTGATTTGTTGTTGTTACTATTTATGGGTCGACGTTATTATGATGTTAGTTTGGGTGTAAAGATCTGGAATTAGGAGTGTGTTGGTTAGACTAGTTTCACTTTACAATTCATTGATCACTGGGTGGTGATCAATGCCATGTGTGTCAAGATCGAATGCTATCGATCATGTTGCAATGTGGCCGCCAGTCTAAGTGATTCGACACTGCGGGCACTATATATTGAGATTAGATAGTGGTTGGAGGTAGTCGACAGGAAACTCTGAACCCGGGTTTCGTGCTACTTGGCACTCGTCAGCAAGGTGTACCTGTAATCTTAAGGGAACTGGTGCTCTCTGGCGGATTCGATCCCGTGTCACCCAGCCTCACAGTCAGAGATGTTACCACTGAGCTATCCGAGCCGCGATCGACCTCCTGTAGGACTGAGATGTAATCACAATTGATTGATCACTGGGTGGTGATCAATGTCATGCGTGTCAAGTCCTTATTTTATCTTGTGAAACCTGTTTAATAGCCTGAGATTTGACTAGTTATATTGTATGATTGAATGTTATTGAAATATACATATTATCAATCCTCGTATATATTTATCAACTTAGTGAATGACGGGATTAAATACGAGAATGGATGTTCGAATACGTATATTTTGTACATTGGTTGATTGGATCCGACAAGTAGAGAATCGTAGCGAATGAAGCGATATGAAAGGATGAGCAGTGGAGTCAAGCGTTATTCTATATTTATAGCTACACAAAAATAAGCCACAGACGTGTGATGAGTAGGTTAAGATCTACACATATACGCCATTTTAAAAGCAGTCAAGGTTGATATAAGTGAATAATTAACAAGGTCAAAACGTGACTCAATAAGAATGGATAAGTTGTCCTGTTCAGAAGCTAAAATAAGTTTTGTTTGTCTGATCATCGTTGTTTCTAAATTATTTGTGAAGTTTGAGGTCCAGTTATGATTATTTAGGCCCAATGAATCTAATCCAACTCATTTCACTATCTTAAAACATCGACTTTGGTGGCTTGGGAGCATTTTAGAGAAATTCGTCCCGACATCCTCCACATTAAGGCCTCCTCGCTGTGCTTAGGTGGTCGACGTAGATCGGAATAATTACCCACTCCATTGTATCTGTGATTAACTCGGGGCTCAATTAACCCCACCGGTCTTATTGATATATATAAGAATTGCAGTAGTCCACGGACTTGTATGGTTCATATATGTAGGTATATGCAAAGGCTGTGTGTGTGGTGTTGTACAAAGGAAACTTAAGCTGGAATATTGTCTGCCCGATGTCAAATAAAATCAGCGGCCTAACCGATCAGGTCGACGATATAATAAAAGTATATGATAGTAAATATTAGGGAGAAGCGACCAACAACCTCCTCTCAGAGAATGAGTATGTGTATGTCATGAAGTATTGGGGCGGTAAACATGGGTTGAATGATATGTATGTAATGTGTAAGAGGCATTCGGTTGTGGCAAATATGCTTTGAAGGGAGTGGTGAACTATCTACATGTTATGGCTCAAGTGACAGCCGATTATATGACAATGACTTATCGATCGGATCAAGGATTCAGAATCTCGATAGACTATTCTGGTCCGTTGTCCCCAACTCTGCTAACTCGATCAAAAAGTCTGGGTAAGGTGTAGAAAGTGTATTCTACAGACAAACAGCAGATAACAAGTCAGGCAGGCAGATCAGATCAAGCATACAAGTCAAGCGTATTTATACAATTATTTACAATCGATATTGTCATGGAAGATTTTTGAACATTAATCAACAATTGACTGCTATTTGAACATTTAATCGATAGTTCATCAATTGACCTATCTGCACATTTAATCGATAAGTAAATTACAAAATTTGAGTTTTGGGGATCTATCGTCCCCAACACTACATTCCCAAGGGGGTGAGTTTACCTATATGTATAGTATGAGATGCATGAGGTAAATCTATGTGTTACCGGTACGCATGTAACATATATTTGCTCACAAGTTAGGTATACCTGTATGTATACCAAGAAGAACTCTAATGAAAGTCCGTGTGTTAACTAGTTTGCATGTAGACTGTGGCAAGGAAATATTAAAAAATTCTACACTTACTCTTGTTGATAGAATATCTATACGCATGCAAAGACCTTCGGGACCGCAGTTCCCAGCGAAATCACATTCAATCGGTGGGTTTGTCAGCCTTGAAAACATGGAGTCTATTCCAGAAGGGTCTACTTAGGCTTCCCCGGTAAAGTTTTTACCAATCAATCTGGGTAGAACATCACAACTATCTTCCACACTATGCTTTTCCATCAGAGCACGGGGGATGGAAAAAAACGAATAGAGAGGCTTGATTCTAATGTGGCACTGTGGTATCGATGAAAGCTGAATTTGTTTAAGATTTGTCGGTCCATTATTTAAGTTATGTGTTTTTCTTCTACCATCTGCTGTTTCTCACCTGCTTTTGCAATTTACATACAAACTACTAAATAACAGTCAGTAGTTCGAATTGCAATTCACGACTTGTACTGACGCAACAAGCCGATTTCCTAATTTGTTTATGCCTTTATTATTTAATAAATTATTGATTACTGTATGGGTTTGTCAGGTGATTCACGTGCTCCTGACTTGATTTGTGTTGACGATTGATAGATCAGTTTTCGGATGAGTATCTACAATAGAGACAGAGTCGATCGTGTATGCAATAAAATCGTTCAGTGTACCTCCTTGGCAAACTAATGTCCCGTTGGTACTCAAGAGGAATTGAACGTTCTTTTGTTGAAGAAATTGGCGAACCGGTTTCACCTAATGTCTTGGAATTATCAGTGTGATGAATGTAGATCTAGATCGACTGAATTGAATGAGAACACTAAAAGTGGATGGATGTGGATCGTGACTGATTTTTAGTCATGTCATTGACTAGTGGCCACGATAATCATACAGATCTCAACAACGTACTGTTTATCTAACAACATGACTTAAGCGATTAATGACTTCGTAGAGTGATGCCAAATCTTGTGTGACAACTGTACATTATCAAAAAAACCTGATTATTAGAACTCTATCTCATTGAGTTAATGGTAAAATGTTGGTTGTATGACTTCAAATTTACCCAAAGTTGAGCATTATCATGAAATATACTGAACCAGAAAAATAGGCAGTTACACATTTATCAGCGATACTTAATAGTTCTAAACCCTATTATTACTGTCAAACTAGACATGATCAAGAGAATTCCTTATTTCTTTGGTTGAGATCATGAACCGACTAATGTTAGACCACCGTTGGAAACTTGAAAGCACTGGACGGCCGTTTCGTCCTACCGTGGGACTCCTCAGCAGCACGCATCCACGATCCCGGGGCCTTCGGTCTCGCACGCGAACGCCTAACCTACTGGACCACTGAGTCGGCATCCAGTGGTGATAATGTCTAAGATCAACCAATCCACGAAATTGCGCGACCAACTTCCATGTCTCTACCCGACATGCATTAGCTCCACTGGTCACGGCTTCCATTGTCTTGCACAGGAAATTCGGTAAGTAATGTGATTTATCTTAATTTATATGCAAAAACCCCTTCATGTATACAGTGTGAACATTTGTCAGAACTGGTGAAAATAATATCATGTAGAGTATATCCCGTGACTGTTGACCAAGATCACATGATAGATCATCAATCCGAAGCCTGATTCGAATTTGGTCTATTTTTCGTCCATTATTTACTGTATAACTTAGCGTCTCTGACATGGCAACCAGTACAATTAACCTTGAGTTAACAGATAAGTTAATATTGGTTCATGATTCGCCAGCTTCTCACCTGAGTCTAAAAGTCTGCAACCAACCTCTAGAATATTTATAATCCAGAAAAAAAATAGTGTCGGATGCTATGTTAAGCCTACAAAGGTTATTCCACATTCTGAACAGATCAATCTATTCCTTCTGCTCAAATCACATTTTTACCCTGTCACTTATTCGCTTATTAACCTTTGATTGTTTTTATGTAATTGTATGTGTGCATTTCTTATTTTACCCATCACATGTTTGTAACTTATTTTTGTTCGACTATAAATATCAATTCATGCTTGGCTATATTGAGTTGGCTCATACGACTTCTTTACTGCGCGTCATTTCGATTCGCTCTCTTCTCTTCGTTCATTCGATTGTTTGTCCAAATCAATGAGTGTAAAAAATATACGTATTCAAACATCTATTCTCGTATTTGACTTGTTTAATTCCATTGTTCACTAATGCGAGGATTGATGATATGTATATTTCAATAACAATCATTCATACGATATAACTGGAGTCAGATTTAGTGCCGTCAAAGTGATGTGCTCGACGTGATATGAACACATAGCCTTCCAATATGGAGTCAAATTTAGGGACACTAAACACTGACATACCAGACCATATCATACCATAAAATAAAAAAAATAACTATACATGAACAAGCCAAAAGGTAAAGTGTGAATAGGGGAGACTATAATTTATGGACGACTTTTAAACAACGATAGAGTAGTGACCTTAGGTGTATCCACCTGGTAACTAAGATCAAATGAAGATGTGAGGAATTAGACTTATGATTTACAGTTGATGGTTAGAGTTAGGAACTAGATTTAGAGTTTTCATCACGAACTGATATCAGCTATAATGCCAAAACTCTGTTTTGGATGAGTGAATTTCGTTCCAAAATCTGAGACCTATTATCCCAAAGCCTGATTGATTTGTCCATAAATTATAGTTTCGCCAAAAGTTGTTTTAGTGCAGTTACATTCTCTGAATTGAAACTTTTTCATTTTCTTTCTAGGTAATATAAATTCATATCAGAAAGGTTTTGTGGATATTGTAGTAATTTCAATGGTTGAGATCATGAGTCAATTGAAGCTAGACGACCATGAAAAACCTGGGACCACTGAACGGCCATTTCGTCCTATTGTGAGACTCCTCAGCAGTGCGCATAAACTCTGTAGAAATTTTTAGATAGATTGGACCCATCACCGACGAAACTATACATAATCTAGAAAAAAGGATACTTATTTACATTTAATTGAATGATTTTCTATGAAAAGCAAGCTCTTTTCAGTAATAATAATATTCAGAAATAACATAGTGTTACATCCTTGACCTGCCTACCCACTTCTATGCAGAGAAGATAATTTGTCTAAATCTAGATTAAGATCTTGACGTGATAGACTGACTGGCTTGACCTTGTGAGGTTAGTATGTGTGAGTTCTAAGTGACATCAACTACTTGAAGTAGAGAGACAAAAACTATCCTATCATCTGATTGGCTGACAAGCACACAAGAGAAAGAGAAGACAAGTCAACTAGAACACTACTCACTTTATTTCCAGTTCAGATTAGTGTAAAAAGATACATCAAGACTTCTTTGTGCCTCTGTTCATATCACATACACATCTTAAAGTGACTTAGAACATTGTTAAAACTTGGTACCTAGTTGATTTCAAGGTTCACTTAAAATATTTTATTATCATTCAATCATAATGATAATAGTTTGGTCACGAGGATGATAACCATGGTTTCGCACGTGCTTTGCAATGAGACTTACCTTATATATATATATATATACTTTTCAAGGTACTTCGGTTTGTGTGTTAATATCTAATACTCATTAAATAGTACTGGATATTTTCAACGTCAATCTAAGATAATAACTATAACAGAGTAGAATGCTCTAGAGCAAGGATTTCTTATGCGATGGTTGATAATGGCTAGGAGTGGTATCCAAGACGTGTACTTCTTTTTATCTGGGACTTGTCAGCTGGATGCAACTGCACCTGTGTTGATGCTTGCGCTGGAACTAGAACACACCACCTTTAGCTTCAAACGTCCAACGCGTTATTCACTTACAAAGTGAGTCCTTAACATAAATGGAAAGATTCAAATCCTTACAATTTAGTACACAAATGTGATTCTGATGTCATACGGCTTTGGCTTTTACATAGATACAAATCTTGAATGGTAAAGGATGGAAGCAAAAGATTTGTCGTTACTTACCAAGCGATTGAGTTAAATCGTATAAATAAAGACCCAGTTAACCCTACTGGGTCGTGAGTTGAAATGTTATCTTGTACCTAGTTTGGTTCCAATTGGTAGTTCATCTTTATGTTGACAGGAGACAAGGCAAACATGTGGTTTTGAGGGATATGATATCATCTGTAGGGTTTTAACTAGCATTACTCAATTTCAGTCTGAGACATAACAATTAAGCTATTCAAGTTGCGATCGATCTTCAGTACTAGTAACATCGACGTCATGTTTATGTATATGTTTTAGTAGTGAGTTTGAGTGCTGTGAGAGGTTTTCGGGCATTTATCACTTCAAGTTGGCCTAGACATTGGAAGGATATAAAAAGAAAACTGGGTTAGGATTGTTCATGATGACTAAGGAGTGTGACGACAGAGCTAAGGGGCTAAATATCTGATTGAAAGAGATGAGTGCCGTTCTTAGGATCGACCAATTTTAACTCTCTGCTTCCATTGTGGGAAGGTAGTAACCACAGGTTATTTGTAAGCTATATCTTGTTGCTGTTAGATAAGCTGTAGAGCCAGTATTGTGACTTTCTCCCTTTAAACCTTAAGTTATGTTTTAGTCTTGACGATATTCTCATCCGATCACTCTGGCATGGTATCATTTAAAATAACTCGATTGGGTCATCACAATCTGTTGGTACGACCGCCACATCTGATACGACTGAAATAAACACTGATCAAATCCTACCAAGTTGTAATGTAGTAGTCATTATAACTTCAGCACAAATGCATTGTGTCTTACAATTCAACACAATGGAAGATCATAAGATTGTTGATTTTATTATACAGAAATCATTAATATACACAAAACAGACAACATGACAATCTAACACAATAACCAAAACACACACACACATACACTTGAACATACTGCAAACAGTTGTCATATTGACAAGAATATTTAAATAGTGCAAAAGTATATTCAATTGGAGTTATTATCATAGAGAATGGAAATGATCTGTCCCATTCCTTTTAGGTGCGCATTCCCCTCTCTCTCTCTCTCAACATATAAATGTGTACAGAGTCTCATCATTAAAACACAAACTTTAGTGATTGGATAATCAATAAACAGACAATATACAGAAAAAAAGAAATGGAATGATTGTGCACACAAGAAATTATTAAATTGTACTAAACGTTTATTCAATACACACACACACAAGCACAAACATAGGTGCTGATAGTTATGAAAGTGTAAAAGACGGAATAGAAAATTCTGTGGAAAAAAAACACACACTTTATTATCTTTAATGACTGCTGCCTTTCACCAGTTTTGTGATATGCAATAATTAATGATTGTAATGCACATATTAATAATGAGGTTCTTTCATTGAAACAAATACGAAGGTATACATGGTGATTAGGATAATTTTGGTCGTTTTGCATAGATTATATCAGTAGGAATAGTTGAATTGGTAGTAACATTTAGTTTATTTACTATTGTTGTATTACCATTATTAATAATAGAAGATGGAGTTGTTGTAGTGATATGAAAAGAAGAAGGATGAATTTCAATTGGTCTATTACAATTAATTGTTATTGTTGGTGTTGATATTGTTGATGATCCAGGTGGTGATTGTTTTACATTAATTGAACGTGGAGTAGTAGCAGTGGTAGAAGCAATAGTAGTAGTAGCTACAGTAGTTGTAAATGGTGTAGAATTAGCAAATGACGACTCTACAACTACTGATGGTTGTTTTGCATCACAAAATGTAGTGACACGGACAACTTTACGTACAGGATTAGGCTAAAAAAAATTTTAAAAATAATAAAAGCAAACAGGAAAATCAGTTATTTACGACAATAATCCTTTTGATCAATTTAAATAATGCACTAAGAAGGCGGTATTTATCAGAATTAATGTGTCCTGGTACGGCCGACAGTGAGGAGAGTCCGCTCTCCCTCTCGAAATGCTCTCACATGGCCACGTGCATACAACCACTGACAGGGAAGTCCTACTCACTGCCTTCTCGTGGGTGTTGTTTACGAAATTGAGAGGACGAAAAGCGAATGTCTGGCACTTTAACCGGGTTGGTAAACACGGAGGGTCCACCTAGGCGAGTTGAAAAACCCTCATACCAAATCAATGGTGCATATGGGCAAACGGCGTACGAACCAATCGTTGGTCACCTGCTACCATGGGACTGAATCTCCTGACGTTGCTTCCCTGCCTTGTGGACCAGACTTTTAGGCCGAAGGCTCCGAGTGTGGCCCTCTAAGAAAACCACCTGCTTCGGTTTGGGCACCCGGGCAGTATCCTAGCCCTCACACAAATCGAATGATGAAGTGTGGTGCATATCTGTTTTGTGCGTCCTTGTACTAATGTTTATGTGTTTAAATAAAAAAGAAAAAAATGTGACATATATATAAGCGAAATATACCCATTCACAATTATTATGAGTGAACAACAAAACAATATCCTTGCTTCACCAAGAACTTAAACGGCATGTAAATAAATGCGTCACATCCTACTGTTTACCAATTCACAACTATGTGTATGTGAGTGGATATACATACTTTGGTGGAACAGTAATTGTGATTCGCAAGTCAGTTCGGCTGAATATGTACTTAAATAGTTACAAATAAAAATACAATCAAATGATCTAATAAGCCCAGATGAAAAACGTCTGAAGACCTGTGAAGTGGGGTCCGACTCGTAGTCAATAGTTTCCAGGTTCGAAGCCCGATCCACTTCGATTCGGGAAACGGAGTATTGGTGTGACTTACTAACAAGTATCTGGTGAGTGTATCTAAACCTTAACTAAAAACTCAACTCCTTCCATGACCTAACATTGTTGTTGAAACAGAAGATAAGATAAATCGCAACTCAGTTCTTGTGGCCTTGTATAGAAGCTGTTTAGTTTCAGATATACTATGTATATTTGATACATATGTTGCCTTAACGGATGATGTTTGCTAGTGCGGACGTAGGCTGAAGGAAATCTAAGGGAGAACCAACCAAAACTTGGCGTCAGTTCATGTGAAGCCACTGGCTTGATCTGAGCTAGGATGGTAGGTGAAGACTACTTGAATCAAGTCCACGAGATGATCGTAATTAATGGTTGCAGATGTCGGGTAACATGGCTCCCTATCAGTCACAACGACGCCCTCATGTATAACCATATATTCTGTCTTTTCAAACCATATTTTCAAGGTTTATTTTTTCTTTTTTATCGTTGCTACTATATTATTTCGATCTCTTCCATTCCTATCTCATCTTCCTAAAAGCTGGTATAGCAACTTGTGTCAATGCAGATCTGTTGCTGTTGATGTCTGACTTGTAAGTCTATCTATAATTCAATGCTGATTACATAGACACTGTTAGTTAACGAATGAGTTAGGATTAAAATATTGTAAAACGTTCATGACATTAATAGTTAAGGATTGTTTTTGACTTATTCTAACTAATTAGTTAGGAATATTCACCGTATAATTATGTTCTGTGTACTTAAATAATCTTTATAAAAGTTTTGATTGAGATCACGAATTGATCAGTGTAAGACCACCGTTGAAAACCTGGAAGCACCGGATGACCATTTCGTCCTAGTATGAGCACTGCTAAGGAGTCTCATACTAGGACAGAACGGCCGTCTAGTGCTTCCAAGTTTTCAATGGTGGTCTAACATTGATCGGTTCATAATCTCAACAATCCTATACTGACTTTGTAAAAGTCATACACATCTACATACGTACAGAAAAAGTATTTCAGTCCATAATTTCAAACGAAAAAACTACACCTACAAACACAATGACTGTATATTTCCCTACTTTATAATTGATTGATCATTGAGTAGTTAGTAAGTATTAACCAATGTCATATTTATCTAGTCCTTTATTGATGGTCGAAGCCTATCAGTCAAATTATAATGTATATGTCACTTGTTTAAGTGGTTTAACATTGCATAGAACAATATTACACAATTCGACATTGATCATTACTACTCGGTGATTAATTAGTAGTTTTCTACTTGTCCATCTATTTGAACGGAAAGATGATATAATGGAATTTATGCACTAAATGGTATATTACACAAGAAGGTCATTTATAAGTATTGTAAACGTTTACAGGTAGATGGAGATGTATAACAGTTACGCACCATTATTTTGATACATTTTCTAATCAGTATAGGGATTTATGGAGATTGTAGTGTTTTCACAATCGAATTCACAAGGTTAAGCATTCGCATGTGGAACTGAAAGTCCTGGGTTCGATTTCTGAATGCAGGATCGAGGATGCATACTACTGAGGAGTTCCATACTGAGACGAAACGTCCGTCCATTGCTTCCATATTTTCTAATACTAAATATTTATGCCTTGAACAGATATATAAGAGAACTAGTTTATTATTGTATATTTTATAATGAGAATCCTCTGTTGACATAATGCCCTACAAATTTTGCCGGATTTTCTGTTCTCGTTTATTTTTAAATCTTCATGAAACCTTACATTTGAATTAACGAGGAAAATTTACTGTTAAGATGGATACTTTGATGGATATGTTCTCTGAGCTGGATGATAGTATAATTACGAAGTTTGTTATATCATTCCATTCAACGATATCGGAGTTTACTTTATTTAAAAGTAAGCTTTTTAGCAACTCTGTAATTATTATAGCTATCGATTTTAAAGGCCAATTACAAACAAAGGAGGTAGGATATCGGAACGAAATGATTTGGTACTCAGAATGACAATAGGAGATCCGTAATTAAACTATCTAACTGAGTACATAACACTATGAATACGTAAATATATATACATATATGATATATTCTACTTTACCATTGTTACGATTGACGGTGGAGAACAACTACCAGTGGTTGTCGTTGTACTGGTTGATATTTTATCTTTATTGGATTGTTGAACAGTTAATTCAACAGGTGTCGATGAACTAATTTTATCATTATTGAGTAGATTCGGATGTTTTTGAGTTAACTTCTCTAATTTATTTTTATTGTTATCGGTTCCTTCGTCAGTGTTCTCTACTACCACTTCGTCGTCAACAATATCATTATTGTTATCGTGAGGATCATTGACAATAACATCTTGAATGTTTGACTGTTTTTCATGGCTTGCTTCATCTTCCATTTTCAAAGTATCTTTCTTCATGCCAGTAGTATTGGGCATATCATCAGTTGAATCTAATGATTGAGGTATCAGGACAGTAGAAGTAGAAGTCGCAGCGATTGAAGAGTTTCGACAATAAGCTTGTGCTGAAGCATGTGCCTCTTTTAACATGGCATTTTCATCACCTAATGAGTCATCCACTTCATCTTCATCGTCTAAGTACTCATCAACTTCTTCATCGAAATCATCCACTTCTTCGTCATCATCATGATGATGATCCATGACATCTTCGTCAACAATGACACCATCACTGTCTAATTGTTGTTGTTCCCGTCTATTTTTCTCGCGACTAATAACATTATCAGTGTTAGTGTTCGGATTACAATCATTATTACCTACAACAGCAACACGGTCTTTAGTTAAATTAACTGAGTGCTTTTGTTGATGAAATATAGGATTTGTATGATCTATATTATTATTGTTATCATTGTTATTATCATCATTAACAAACGGCAAATAATTCGAATTATCATGTTGTGGAGAATCATGTACTGTTGTATTACTATTATTATTATTGTGAATAGATTTAGAAGATTTCCCAGGAACATTACGATTGTCCAAATGTAATCGATTTTGAGCACAATGTTTTTGAGTAATATCCTGTAGGGTAATAACATTTAAAAGATAAAAAAGCAGTTATTTTGACTTAGGTTTAACATATTAAGGATCTTATCAGTTAGAGACTAATGATTAGAAGTGTAAAGCATAAAAACTCCAGAACTTTATGATACAATGTTGGGTAAAGTAAGGAGTTGAAAGAAAACTAGGAGTGAATAAACCAAGACATGACAACAATTTACTTAGTCAGTAACATATTGATAGGCACAGATTATGTGGTTGAACTGCGTGTGATAACCGCGATTGGTGGTTGGACAAGTTGAATGACAAAGCTTAGAGTTAGTAACCTTCACTTTAGACCCAAAGTACTAGGTGAGTGTGACAAATCCATTGACTAAGTAGTGAGTCGTTATCGACTGAGATGCTTAGAACACGTATCACATACAACCATCCCCCGATTACCTCAACACGTGATGCTGTCTAGTGTACGAGTAAGTCGGAAGAAATTTAAGAGTGACCAAAGCAAGACATTACATCAGTCCATGAAGTCTGTAACAATCGGCCCGAGTCATGTAGATAGATGCAGACAATCTGGATGAGCTCCGCCTGGTTATCGTAACCAACGAGTAGAGGTAGGTAACATGGCTCAAAATCGTTCGCAATGGCACAAGCGCAATTACTCTTTGTCTTTTCTTGGATCCTAAGTTTCCATATTCATCATCAGTTTTTTTGATCGAATCTCCAATGCCTAACCATTAATACCGTTACTACCTGCATTAAATTGGGATTCACCCTGAAAACTTCATCTCGTTGCGCTATTGTGGTATGGCAGATTCAACATGTACCAGGTTCTAGATTGAATTTGAGTGACTGATCCATGGGGGTTTCGAATGCTGAACCACAACAGAATCACACAGGCCAATACAATTTAATTTACGAGTATTCATTGTAGAATGTTTACAATTTTCAAATATTGAATCTCTCAGTGTATGAGGAGTACTACATTAAGATAACCAAGTGATGTATCCTAATTAACTGAATGAAACATACATCTTGGATTCCACTATTCGCTATTCGTTTTGAACAGATCATAGTAAAACTTCAAAATGCAGGTAGTATAGAAGTAATATTGCTTAATTTAAACAAAATAAAATCAAATTCTGGATGTCGGTAGTAACGAGAGAATACAAAACCCTATTAGAAGTAATAATGAATTCCAGAACTGATTAAAACTCTCTGTCTACTATGAAAACATCATCATGATAAATAAGTTACAAAAATTTCACTTAGATGGCTTAGATCTGTAACGATTTCACAATACCATAAAGTAAAGAGGTTAGAAAAATCAAGCCTAAAAAGAATACACTTCAATTCGCCTCATAAATTCCTATTGCCAGAAAGTTTGAGATGTATAGAGCTAATATATCAAAAACTAATCCCGAAACGACCACGTGTGACTAGTTTCAAGAAGTTGTTTTTGGGAGCCTCAGTCATTCTCCCAGGGTGACAAGACCATTCTACTGCTAAGAATCTAGTTCTTTTTTTCAGGTAGCTCAATAATATCTTTTCACGATGTGAACCTTCAGGAGTTAAAAACTGCCCTTACAACTTTATCCACCGGAGATTACGTTGTTATCAATCAAACTCAACAATGTATACTGCCCATACCGCCATCAACGAATTTCTACAAACATCAATAATGATTCTGAGGCTCAAGAAAGCAAAATAGTGAGTAGCATTCGACTACTTATATCTCTAAGTAGTAGTAGTATTTGGTCGAATCAAAATCTCAGACGTTTATGTAAGTTAATAGTAAAAGGAAACAGTTTCCAATGATCTAATTGGGAAATCACACTTTTTCTATTTAAGTAGAGATAGTTAATTAGTACGACTAGCGTGCAGCTTAAAGACATATACAAACAGTCGGTAGAAAACAAAGGACCTATGTTTCTTGTTAGTTGGTATTCATCTGTAAGTTGAGCCTGTAATCTTTAAGGAATTGACGTTACGTAACAGATTAAAATCTTAGTCACCCAGATTTACAATATGAAACGTCGCCACTGGAACATTCAAGTCATGACTGACTTCCTGTTGTACGAAGATGTTTATTATAGAGAATGGTTATTAAGTAGTGAAAAATGTTATCTTTGTCTAGTCTTTAGAACCGACAAATTCTATCAATCAAATTACAGTTTGGTCTGGATAGCTGAATGGTAAATGATTACATCAACATATGAGCTTGGTGAATTTCATTATTCTTAAAGTCTCCACGGCTTTTACTGAGATGATTGATTTGCTTACAAAACAGATTTATTTACCTATCACTACATAACTAACAATCATGATAATTCAGTTCACGTATTTATTGAATACAGAATGTATGAGTATCGTCTTACTTAAAACTCGTTAGTATTGATACTTGCATTGAGACTAGAAATGAGGATTTTTTTTGCAGCAAATACACCAACACGTTACCTACTGAGCCACTGAGTATTGATGACTAATAATTTGCATACAATAATAATAATACTTACCCTACCCATTTCACCCATAACAGCGACCGGTGTCATGCCTAAATGTGCAGCGACTTTGTGCTCAACTAAATAAAATATATACTCATCATATAATAGTCGAATTAAATGAAAACTGCCAAAACTCGATGCAGATCTCAACGTCAGATCTCTAATCACCATTGAACTGATTGGTGAGGGAAAAAGAGAAGAAAACACAGTAATAATAATACGACAATATATACACAAGGAAAATGTAACTACAACTTGTAAGAATATAGAAAAGATGAATAAGACTAGTCGTTTAAAGATGTGGTAAATATGTATTTATGTACGGTAACCATAGTTTCAGATTACGACACCATCAGCTCAATTACTCCTATTTCAGCAACCAGATAGTGTCGTATTAATAGCCTTAAAACAAATGATACAGTTCAATAAAGTTCAGGAGATTAAACTTACCGAAGTTTTGTAAGAACACATAAGTATACATATCAAAAATCAATCTTTTAACAGGAGAATTTCTTGTTGATTTAGAATACTCAGTTGATATAGTTATTTTTGGTGAAGACGCTGAAAAACTCCAGTCTCTTGACCACCTTGAGCAACAATACAAGTATGATTTCAATGTGTTTCTCTCCCTTCTGATTCGAAATATTACTTCAAGTTTGGCCTGAGTAAACGCCTAAATTAATGATAAGTAAACTATTGTTCACTAATTCACTTATTTTAGGGGTCTCATCACTTTTGGTGTGTTGATGTCTGACGAAACCTCGGCTGATTCCTGCCAACTTGTGTCAATCGTGGTGCAAGTGAGTTATCCGTCTACCAGCTAAAGGATGATAATACGGTGCAGCACTTAACTACCTTGTACTTTATGGGTATGAAAAGTAGGATACTTGTTGATTACTAGTATTTGATTAGAAGTCTCCTCGAAATATCATTCATATATTTTGGAAACATCGAGTTAGCAACCTTCACGTTAGACCCAGAGTATTAGGTGAGGGTGGGAAATTCAATGGCCAGTTAGCGAATCGTTATCGATTGAGGTGGTTAGGATAAGTATTACGTGTGGACATCCACCTGCGAATGCGACGCGAGTTAATGGTAGTACAAGAATGGATAGGAAGAAAGTTAGGGATGATTAAATCAAGACATGACATTAGTCCATGAAGACACTCACAACTGGACTAAGCCATATGGGTAGTTTCAGACCACCAGGTTAGGGTCGGAGTGATTATTATAATCAATGTTTTGGGTGACACGGCTAGGCATTTTCGGAATAGAGTGGGTGCACTTGCTTTTCATCTTCCCTTACATCCTAAGTTTTTAAGTACTTCATCAATTTTGTTTTATTTCCCGAACCATATCTGCGATGCCTAACCGCTTCTATTACAATTAATATTGTTACTACCGCTACTACTCTAGAATTTGTTTGACCTGATAATTACATCTTGTTGTGCTAATGGAGACATAGCAGCTTGAACTGATGTACACATATGCCAAGTTTTATGTTGCTTTTGATTGACCGATCGTTTATTTACATATGTCTATAAAGAATATTTTAACTTTAACCCTTCTTAAGGATGCTAAGTTCCCAGAAATCACTAGGTAAACATCTCATTTTTGTAATCTTATTTTGGGAATTAGAATTTGGCATTTTCGCGCCAAAAGCGCCCGCTTTTACCTTCAATTTGTATTTATCACTTGGACTGACTTTAAATATAATTGGTTCGTCTCCTATTTTAGTATGCTATTTTGTAACGTTTTTCGAGGACATTTTGGTACTGTATATATATACGTATGAGTTGTGTGTTTATTCGTTCGTGCTTCTGACTGTTTGTGCAATATACTGAATCTGGTATTCTCCCTCTAGTTTTTATAACTGGGGGGGGGGATGGAATAATTTAACTTATCCTGTTGTTGTGTTTCTGACTTTTGTTCCGTTTGCCGGTTTTAGGTGATTTCGTAATCACTTCAAACATAGCAATAATCCTAACATCTAAACTCGAAAGCCTTATAACTTTAACCAAAGCATTTTAAAGGGGTTTTTTATGTAATAAATTATTCACTTTCTTAGAGTCATTTTATAAGCTATTGAAAGTTGTCAAGTAAAGTGTGTACTTTGTCCACCTTTTATTTATTGGCTAATTTGAGGCATATGAAAATCATGATGTTAGTGATTTAAGAATAGCTTGGATACGAGGTTCTACTACTACTACAAAGGAGAAAACTAACATAGCTCAGGTTTTTTGGTTAATTATCATCCAATTTCTAACAGAGTGGGGTTAAATACAAGGATTTTATGCAAAATCATCATTCCATTGATGAATCAATCAAACTAGATACGATTCATAGATTATGCAAAACATTTGAGTTGCATAATCAATGTTTTCGGATTTTTACTAGTATAGAAGAATTTTCATAGTTTAAATCACGAACTAGCTTCAAGATGGAACGTCTGGAGTTCTGGTGAGGCCGTAACCAACGCAGTTCAGCTCTGACATGCAAGAAACGATTAATTATCTATTGAAGGCAATGAATAAAGGTTGCCTTTATTGGACGTCTTTCAGTGGTTTAGAGGTCAAGCATTTACGATTTAGATTCGATCCCTTGTGGTTAGGATTGTGGATGAGCACTTTTAAAGAGTTCTATATTAGGTATCAAACAATTGTTCAGTGATTTCAGGTTTCCAATGGTCGCTTACCAAGAAGATTACTTTGTAATTTAAACTATGAAAATTTCTGGATTTCTTAATTCAATTATTAAAAACTTACCTGTAAAAAGACCATTTCAATACTAGTTGATGTGCAGCTCTTGTATAAGCCAAACTATTGCCTTCAAGTGGTTGTAAGATGCTAGTCACTACTGTATCTAACCATTGAGCCCATTCTTCCAGTGATGCATGCTTTTGTAAAATACGTTTAAAATCATGCTCTAACTGACTAACAGTAGAATCACTGCATTGACATACCCATGAAGCTTGTTCCTGTAGATAGAGAGAGGAAGAAAGAAAAGTAAATAACATTTGATAGGAAAGATATTATGGAGGAAAAGTGAAGATAACATTTCCGGTAAAATATATTGTACTTTGGTGGAGTTGTAGTTTACAACAAAATAAACTTTATCATTAGCGCTTATCTCATATGGAAATGAGAGTTTTTAGTTATTTCGCATGATATGTCAATAATATGATAATACAGATACATGTAGACAATTACGTATATGTATTCAACTCAGTCAGTCATACACAATGTAGAACCTGACACGTATGTGTGTCGGTTCAAGTTGCCATACCAAATTAACACAGAGAGATAAAAACTACCACAAGAAAAACTCCAGAGTAGTAGTAGTGGAGAAAAATAAAATATAGGGCATAATATTTCAGGATCAGGTTCTGGAAGAATTCATCTAAGTGATTGTGAACAATTTCAAGCCATGTCACCCAAAACATTGCTCACGATAATCACGCCCACCTCAACCTGGTGGTCTGGACCTACCTAAAAGACTCAGTTCAATAATCAGTATTTTCATGGACTGATCTCATACCATCGTTTGACTATCTCCAACTTCTTCCAGCCTACTCCTGAATCGGCCATTATTAGGTATCGAAGTAGTCGGTTGATGTCCAAACGTATTACATGTCACAAATATCTCAGTTGATAATGACCCATTATTTTATCAGTCGATTTGCTATCCTTACCTAGTACTGTCTAACGCGACAGTTGCTCAATCAATGTTTTAAAAATGTACGAGCGATACTTCGAAGATATCTATGATCGAATACAAGAAATTTACGGATATCCTTTAATCTTAATGGCCAGATTTAACACATATAAAGTAGAACGGAGCAAACTGTTGTATAGAATCTCAACACGAATTTAAAAAGCATGGTTGGCTTTTTACAACTTACTTCACTTATGACGTAGGCAAACAAATGACAATCTTAAGTTTTAAAGTTATCTTATATCATTTGTTCCACGAATTCATAGTTTTCTATGCCCATTGTTTCCTATAACTAATGATTCTGTTAACCCATCACAAACACAGCCAACAGAAAGAACTGAATTAACGCTTGTGAAATAAATAGGAAGCTGATAATGTTGTTATCCAGGACAGAAATGAAAGCTCCATATATCAATCCCTCATCTCAGAGAACTTAATAACACTGAAAGCAACCACTGTGACTATAAATCTTCACCAAGATTTCAATCATGCTCCATGATTGAAGACCATTGACAGAAACCTATGTACGTTGTAATTGTCGAAGATGAACATTAAATTACAGATAATATTGAAAAGTATGAAATATTGGATGTTTTCTGCCGTAGCTTGAGAATCCTTAGCAGTGCATTGAAACCGCAATGATTTCATATTTTCAACTGTAATCAATTTGTTTACTTCTAATGGATCTCCTAAACTAGAATGACAAAAAACAGTGTCCTCTAGTCTTCTTTTTCTCAATAGTGTTCTGATGGATGATAATTCGTAGTGAAATTAACAGCGTTGGGCGCCGGCTAAGTAGTCTAGAGGTTAGGCGTTCGCGCGCGAGACCGAAGACCCTGGGCTGGATTCCCGCGTGCAGGATCGTGGATGCGCAACGCTGAGTTCCATATTAGAATGTAACAGATGTCCGATGCTTCCAGGATTTCAGTAGTAGTCTAGCTTAGGTGGATTAGTGAATTCAACTGAATAATATCCCTTACATAAGAACGATTATTACTACTATAAATTTCATGAATTAAATAATGAAGACGCATAAACTGATGATTAATGAAACACATTTTTTACTATGATACCACATACTACAACAACAAATGAAATACTCACTTGTACATTATTGAAATCGACACGATTTAAATCGGCCAACATTTGATTAATTTGATTAGCATTTTTTAATACAGCACGAGCAGCTTGAGCTAAATGATTTAAACTAGTGTAACGTCGAAGAGTTTGTGCTAATGCACATACAGCGGATATTTTTAAATTAATAAGATCTGTATCTAAACCTTGTATAGCTTGACGCATCCAACCCTTGTAAAAAAAGTATATAGGAGAGAACAAATTGTATTAGTGTATAAAGTTTGTGAAGATTAATGAATCGTATCGTTTGCATCATAGATTCAATTTAGTTAAACAAATACTAAAACCCAAAAAGCATTGGGGAGCTGTTTCGTCATAGCATGGGGCTCTTTATAAGTGAGCATCTACAAACTCACCGAGAATTGAACCCAGAATCTCCAAATCTTATAATTAACGTTTAACCTTTATATCACTAAGTCAGTATTCAAAGGTTTAGTGGTGTATGTTACTTATGTCTTTCAATATAAGTAGTACGTAAAACTAATGTGAAGTGGAAAACCTGGCAGCAGGAGGCAAAGAAAATCGAGTTAAAGAGAAAAGAAGGGAAAATAGAAAGGAATTGTGGACTGGAAGGAATCATACAGAATGTGAAGGGTAAATGATGGAAATTTGCAAATGAAGTATTGAATGTATGGTTCTTATATTTTACTAATAAACTCTGTAATTTTGTATCAAAATACAATTGGTCGTCCCCACCTGAGTCTCACTCATTACAATTTATATTCCTAACTTCAGCTTATTCGTGATATAGCTCAGTTGTTCTCTGAAACAAACCATTAATAGATAACTGTCTCCATTGGTTGCGTCGATTCTCACTAGAGATTTGAGAATTATCTCTTGAAATTAACCCTTGTGGAGTAGGTGATTATTATTAACAACCAATAAAAAATCCATAACTTAGCAACATACAAATTGCAGTATCTGAATGTACCAGATAATTTAGTAAATCATATGCAATATAGAAAATGGTACATATGTGAATGAATTAAACACATGTTGTTTGAGGTTCCCTTATTAGTAAAAGATGTAGGTAAGTCCGTTAGAAAGTAGTAAATTAAACAACGAATAGGAATAATGATGTATCGCTGTTGACAATAATGAACAGTGTGGCAGCATTACCATTTTCAGCGATGGTGTTTTTCTATACGAACAGAAGATAAAACATATCTGTCCTGAAAAACAAACTTATTAATACTTAACAGATTCCTAGTCTAGATGACAAGGTTTGAAAACTATGGAGATAATACAAAAATATCGTGTGTCTAGCCTTAAAGTTTTTTTCGGAGGTATCTGGCGGGGTTATTCGAATAACAAGATCAAAAGTGTCTTTCTTCATTCACTTAAAAAAAGGAAGGAACTTCAGGATGTAAGTTATGGAGAGCAATGAGTTGCTCTTGGAACCCTAGCTAATGTAGACGATCTTTTCCTCTAAAAAGGAACTTTTCTTGGACTACTGTTTAATTACATTACTTTTGATAAACATTTGCATTAAGTGTTCTGTAGAATATATCCTAAATAAAATTGTAGATTACATTACGAAATGACTTTAACTAACATCACTGAATCCCAACTCAGTGAGCGGTCTAACATATACTCGCCAAGAAGCCTGAAAGTGATTAGTTCGAATCTCTGGTAGGATTTTGCGTCGGCAATTATGAAGAGCCTCATATTAGGGCACAACAAAAGTTAGCGTTTCCTAGTTTTCAATAGTTATCTAGTCGACAGATTCAGTGGATTTTCATCACAAGCTGATGTCAATTTGTTAAGGAATATTAGATACCAAGAGAAGAGGGAGGGAACATTGGACTGCTAATTTATCGTAATATGAAGTAATAATAGTCTTCCTTCTAAAAAAAATTGGCTCACTTCAAGAGATTTTGCAAAATTACGAATTGCTTGTGTAAGAGTTGGCGGAATAGGTCGAAGGACATTTGGTATTAAAACTTCAGCTAATGATTGATAGAATGTATGATCATAAAGTCGAATGAATTGTAAAATGGCCGGATCGGACACGAGTGAATATAATCGTTCTTGTGATAAACTTTGTTTTAACCGAGAATCCTACCAATAACAAAAAATAAACACAATAAACAAAACTAACATAAATATTAGACTTTGAAATTATTTAAATAATAATTAGGTGAACTAGATGAAAGAGTATTCCGAAGATTGTAAAGACTAAAATCCTCAAACGAAGAAACTGTCTTGGTCAATCGTACTTGTAGAGGGGAATGCGCGACTGAAAGGTAGTCATGTATGCCGGTGGTTGCAGGTAGTTGACAGGAAACCCTGCACGACTTAGGTTTCGTGCTAGTTGGGAATGACAAGAAAATTGTACTTATAATCCTAAGGAAACTTCCTGGAGGGTTCGACCCCATGTCACTCAGCCTCAGTAAGAGACGTTACAGATACACCTTGGTGATAAGTACCTAATGGCACGAAATCTAGGTTAAATTTCCTATCGTCTACCTCCAATCATCATCACCTCACATCTCATACATATATAACATAGTTAACTGCTCAATAAGCAATCAAGTGTAATTGACGTCAGATCTTTGCATATACAATTATCAAGGATCTAACAAATAATGGATATGAAATATCTCAAAGGTATTCATAACAATTGATTAGCAATGCATCCAGCCTTTACTCTGCTTTTTAGAAGCCATCGCTATCACGTGTACAGAAAAGCGAAGTAAACCTACTTAGTCCCAACCAAGCAGTTGTGAAAGATTTGAGATAATGCAATTCAGTCAGTCATCAATCACTGATTACAGGAAACGCATGGGGCCCAACCAAGAATTTTATATCAAAAGTCGCTGACATGATATTACCATTCTGGCTCTTTTCAACCCAGTATTGCTCGTCGGAGAACTCGAAGGCTGATGTAACTGTGATGCATCCCTCAGTCGATGAAGCTTTATATACTCATAGACTTGACTTTAACGTATACTTTTATGTGTGAGAGTCGCTTAGTCTAAAGCACCTGAGCTGGGGTTTGAACATAACCTGCTAGTGATTGAAATTCAAATGTACCACAGTCTCTGAGAAATTTGCTTTTTAACGATACTACCCTATTGATGATTGAGAATATTGTGAATACATGAATATATATAAATACAATTGAATAGTCGAAAAAAAAATCGATAATATTTTTAATACTTACTCGTACTTCTTCAGTGCACCAAAATGCTTTCCATACTGTTTCAATTGAAGTAAAATCTAAATTTACTACAGCATCAAGCATATAACCAGCGGATAAAGCATAAAGACGACAAAATGTAATTACATCTTCATTTGTTGATAAATTATTCGATGTTTCAACTGTTTTTAAACGACTTTTATTCTCTGGCAAATCAACTGATAGATTGTAAGAAAATAAAAATAAAACATAAGAAACATCATTTAGAAGAATATTCATTCTATGTAGTAATGTACTTGTCATTGAACATTTTCAACTAACAATAATGAATTAAAGATAAAGGTAAACTGTCAATTAATTTCCCTTTTATTTTTATATTCAAAAATTATCCTCAATACGTGGTTCTGGAGGTGAATAATTTATGTTAAACTTTCCAAAGATTGATCTTCTATATAGACACTTTCAGATACACACATAGGGAAAGAAAGATTTAAAGTATGGAGATGAAATCCACTACCTTCCGAATACCTCAAGGACATCCAAGATCTGTGCTCCTATGTTTTTTCTCAAATGAAAAACATTACTTTGGAATAGATATGTGCCAATGCCTAGTTTGATCACAGAAAATAAAGTAGTTGGTCACATGGTGATCGGTGATCACTATCAATATTGTGATTTAAATCACACCTTAGTAGATGATGACTGAATAAATTTAAGTAGGGGACACACATACACGTTTTGGTTTTTGTTATATATTTTCGACATTCATTGTCAGATTTTTCAATGGGTTGATCTCTTATCAGGAGACTTATTTGTTGACTTGGAATAGTTCTGTTGGGTGAAGATGCTCAAAAATCCAGTCTCATAAACAATTGAAGCAGGAATGCAAGCATGTTTAGAATGCGATTCTCTCGCGCCAAATACAAAATATTATTTCAGGATTAGCTTGTGTCAGCACCTGAATTAATGATAGGGAGTGAAGTAGTTGAGGGTGCCGAATGCTTCACTTAAATTGGGAATCCCATCAATCCTGATGGGCTGGTGTTTGACGAAATCTCATCTCGGATCATGAAAGCTCGATTAAACTTTGCCAACTTGCGTTACTTGTAATGTAAGCGAGATATACATCTACCAACCGAAGGACGAATTTACTGCCCAGCATTTCGCTCCGTTCTACTTTATGGGTGTGAAACCGCCATCAACATAATTGTAGATTACTAGTATTCGATCATAGGTATCTTGGTCGAGCATTTCGAGACCACTGAGTTGGCAACCCCGAGGTTAGGCATGGGGTACTGGGTAGGGATAACAAATCGACTAGTGAAGCAGTAAATCTTCATCAAATGCGATCCCTTGGATACGTGTTACGTACGCTCAACCACCACCTACTTAGATGGGCGATGCTGTACGTTGTAAGAGTAAGCTAGGGGCAGATAATTCAAAACGTAGCATCGGTCCATAAAGCCACTAGAAGCTGGACTGAGTGATGTTAATATGTGTAGGCTACCTGGTTGGGTTCCGCATGATTATCGTAATGAATGGTTAGAGACTCAATGAAATCACTCAAAATTATTTGCAAAGGCGCCGTTGTATCAATTTTTCGTCTTCTAAGCTTCGAGATTCCGCATAATTTTTCTGATCTCTTCTATTACAATTATTACTACCCCCACTACTCTGAAGCTTACCTACAGGATTTCATCTCGCTGTGCTAATAAGGTACGGCAACTTGATGTGCATACGTACCAGGTTTTACGTTGCGACTAACTGGTTGTAACGAGGGCGGTGTCCACAGAACTGCTGTGGAATATGCTTTGGGAAGGTGTGATGAGAATGCTATTAACTCCTTTTAATATACGTATCTACAAAATACTGACTACGTATAGTGGAACACATTGGGTGACTAAATGGTTAGGTTTTGATTAGAATAATAAAACGTACGGAAGGTGGATCGATTGATAAGACTGTGAAATTTTGTTAAATAAGACTATTTGGGGGGGGGTTATAAATTTCAAAAAGGTGTGGATGTATCTTGATTAAGTCACGGTATTGTCAGCGGTCAGGAATGAGTAATCGCATATTCAAATCAATTCTAACCTAGTGTTATGACGGAAGAATTGATTTGATAGAACATTGGGATCATCGTTCCTCCAGATATCCTGGTACGGTCGAAGGTGAGGAGAATCCACTCTTCCTCTCAAAATGCCCTCACACGGCCACTATTAGGGAAGTCTAACTCACTGCCTTCTCGCGGCATGAGGGTTTTTTACGAAATTGAGAGGACAAAAAGTGAATGTCTAACGCTTTAACCGGGTTGGTGTATGTGGAGGATCCACTTAGGGGTTGGAAAACCACAATTCTAAACTAATGGTGTACATGTGATCCAGGATCCTGATGGAAAAATGTCGCACGAACATTCATCGAGTCTACTAAATATAAATTAGTTCTTTTGATGAAATGAATCAATTATGAATTTATATATAAATAGGTAAACAAGATTGTGTTTCTTACCTTCACTTGGCACAGGAAGACCAGATGATCGGCATATTTCATCTAGATTAGGCAATGCGGAACTAGCTTCACCAAGAAAATGTGCATGATGTTGACCATTGCCAACACCACTAGAAGATAATAAAGGACTTGTTACTGAATTTGTCGTAACACTATCAACATTTTGACTAGTGGAATGTGAAGAAAGACTTCCACTACCAACATAAAGATTATTATTTAACATTGATTTATCTGAAGAACGGAATGTTGTCACTGTTGTACTGGTACCGTAATGAGATGATAACTGAGAATTACTACTACTAATATTACTACTGGCATTACTGCATGAGATATGTGATGTTGAATGAACATGAGATGCTAAATTATTTAATCCAAAAGAAGTGTTCCCAACTCCAACACCTCCACTATTGACTCCATTCCCATTTGTACTTAAAGATTTCAATCGATTTAACGAAGAATTTGTGAAATTTTTCCATTCAGCTGCAGCTTCCATTGTTTGACGATGATAATTAGGATAATGTCGAAGTGAGAAACCAGCATCTTCGATAAAATGATTTAAAGGTGAGTTTGGCTTAATACGAATACCATAATAATGATATTTAGAATTTCCACGTGTACCTAGTCGTCGTGTACGTAGGCCAAAAAATACTGAACGTATTAATTTACCAAATGATGCTGGATTCATTGGCTCTAATTTATGTTCATTACAATGTTGTAAATAATGAAAATATAATGTACTACGTGGAAGACTAACACCATCAGCTGTCTCGTAATTATCAACAAGCCATTGAACCTAAAATATGATAAGAAACAATTTGCTTTATTAGTGAATAATGTTGAAAAAAAAACAAGTTTAATATAGGTCAAGGAACAAATGCAACATACATATACCATTAGATTGTAAGCTTTATAAATAGTACATCATATGGATTTCAGTCGCCAGCAGTAATGTATATTAATATACGAAGCTAACACATTAAAAACTCTTGACGAAAAAGTTGTATGTAGCTGGGTTTCAGCAGCTGTTGTCGTCTGAGCTCTGTTATCATTCTCCTAGATCAGTAAGACCACTACTACTAATAGTAACCTAGTCTCATTTTCAGATCCCTTAAGAATAGTGTGTATACAGCTGGGAAACGATAATCACCTGCCGACATTTGGAACACCATTTAAGATCATCTTGTTCATTGACTAACTAACTGAAGATTATGTAAGATGTACCAGATCTAAGATTTATCGAGTAAGAGTTTATTTTTGTGTGTATAAAACAGACAAAAGACATTATGGTACAGTAAGGTAATAACAATAAGGTGTCACACAAAATATTGTAAAGAAACAAGAGATGGAATTGATTGTATTATCAACATGTGTATCAGTGAACTAGATTGGTATTTAATAAATGCATTATATATAACCTACTACCGCCTACCCTGATATTTAGTTTGGCAGAGTAGGGGGTTAAGTGCGAAGATAGCAAAGGGTGGTTGAACTAGAACATAGGATTAGTGCATGAATTTATCGAACGGTACTCTGAGGCAGATGTGGTTGGGATCCGAGTGGTAACTATGGTCTGAGGTTGTAGACGTTGGGGGAGATGATTAAAAGTCAGTCGCAGTGCCACAGATGTATTCATTTTTTGTTAACCCTTTAGGTTTTGAGTTTTAAGATTATTTTATACCTCTTATTCTTACTTCTCGAATTAGATTGTTCCAATATTGGTAAAGAATACACAGTGAAGAAGCTGCTGAAACAAAATTCGAAAAACATGTTCGAAATACTAAAGCTGTTGTTTGTAGATAATGAAATTAAGTGCATTATCATAATCAGTTTGCGAAAATGCTCAATGTTGGACCTCGACATTATTTCCACGCTCTTGTCATTGAATGTAAACAATCACACAAAAATATATATCATCAGATCGGAGAGACCAAATTTTACAAGCATAGAGGAGAACAAAGGTCGGTGAGGCATTGTATATTCAACCTCTTACAGATAAACTGATATTATGACGGCATTAGAGATGGCCTACATTAACGCATAAACTACTTCAAACTCCAGTATATGTAGAGCAATCTCCTGTAACATCAATCGTGTTAGCAAGATATTGATTGGATTAAAGAATATTCCGTGCAGGATTGTTTATTTATTTATTTATTAAAACACATAAACATTGGTACAAGGAGGCACCAAATACATATACGCCACACAAATTTCATTTTATATGTGTGAGGGCTGAGATACTGCTCGGGTGCCCAGACCGAAGCAGGTAGTTTTCTTAGGGGATCACACCTCGAGCCTTTGACCTAAAGGTCTGACCCACAAGGCAGTGGAGCATCATAAGCAGATGCAGTCTCATGGTAGCCGGTGACCAACAATTGGTTCATACGCCATTTGTTCCCGCAGGATACTGGAGCCCATGTGCACCATTGGTTTGGAATCCGGTTAAAGCGCCGGACATTCGCTTTTCGTCCTTTCAATTTCGTAAACAACACCCCCGCCACGAGAAGGCAGCGGGTAGGACTTCCCTGGCAGAGGCTGCATACGCGTGGCCGTGTGAGAGCATTTCGAGAGGAAGGGAGGGCCCACCCCACTCTCGGCCATACCAGGGCATTTGGGAGCAGGATTGAGTTGGAGTACGTTGATTGACCATTTATTAGTCAATCAACGTAAGCGGATACTTGAAGAAGACTCTAGAATATCGTACAAAATTATAAATATACTAACATTTTTCTTATTGCGATTCTTACTCCCATTCAATCTTGTTTATTTTGAATATAATTACGTTCCTGTTTAACCGTGTTCTGGTTTGGCGACTTGTCAAGTGAAGTAGTGTCCAGGAATACTAAGCAATAAGAGATCATAACTAGTTGTAAGATTAAAAGGGGATGGTGAAATTAAGTAAACTTGTTTGTTCAACTCCATTTTCGACTGTAATAATGAGAAAACGTATTGGTGTGCCTTAATTCTGCCTAAGTTTGTTTTTTTCTGTATAGACTTCAAAATGTTGGTAAAATTTTCATGAGCGTATCATTCTTTAAAAGATAATCCCATCGTAAGAGTCCATAGAGCTTACGAAATTGAGTTACAGGTATATTGAACAAAAATTTAACGATTAAACAATGGAATAAAACCAATTATTGATGGTGAGCAGTTAGAATCAGTCGAAGAGTTTGTGTATTTGGGTAGCTGTGTAAGTGGTGGTGGTGGCGTAACTGATGAGGTCAACTTACGTATAGTGAAAGCCAGAGCGGCTTATGACAGTCTGAGCCATCTTTAGTGCCTTTGTGATATTAGTCTGCCTGTAAAAGGTCAGGTTTACAACGCGTCGATGAGAGGCTTGCTGTATGTTTGTGAAACCTAGCCTCTCCGAGTTGAGGACGTTAGGCAAGTCTTTGTGTTCAACCATCGTTGTATCCGAACGACTACTGACACTCAATGGTGACACCATTTTAGTACTGCAGAGGTTCACCAACATTTATTCGGGTAAAGTTACAATAATCTAGTTACTGTCATCACCCCAAAAAACACCAGCCTCAATGGCTTAGACGTATGCTACCAATATCGTTTCAGCTGATTTCACATCGTGAATTATTTGCCGACGCTAGGACTAACTGCAAAAAGCGAAGAAGTGGTCAGTTTATGATATGGTGTCGTGGCATGAAAGGCTGTACAGAAGTGACATCCGTCAGACCTTCACGACTTCTTGGTCGGGGTCTTAGAGACAATACAACACAGTAAATTGGCTAGAAATAGAAGTCACTGGCGATTGTGTTGTAATTTCCTCTTACTTCCTTTATATGAGGGTGAAGAACTTCAACTAGGAGAAACCTTTCTGGTTATTTTTTTTCTTAAATGAACTGCTTATTTCATTGATTTTTTCACCTATTCACATTTTTATCAATTGGTGTTTCTTTTGACTCAATTATACTTACTTTTTCTCCACCTCTTAAAAAACTCATTTTCTTATCGCTTAGGACTAGACCAATATTTCTGTGTTTAAATATAGACACATAAATAATGAAATCACTACCAAGTACTCAATATCTACTTACAGTGACAGGACTAGCTTTTGCTGTATGGGATATGGAGGATCCGTCATCATCTAATTGACCACTTTGTAATAAATATGTTGCACCTTGGTGTGTAACTAATTGGGCGTGACCAACACCAGCTGTGGCAGTTAAATTTGTATGTGCCGCCGCAGCAGTATGTAAGGCACCAACATGACCTGTTGCACTATTCGCTGCACCAAACGCAGTAGCTAAAACCTAAAAAAAATTCCAAAATACATTAGACAGATACAATACATAAAGATGGTGTAAAATTTCGTATTAAACTATGACGCACTAATTCATCATATTTTGGAACAGAAAGGAAAAAGTATACAGTTCAACAAGGGAACAATGGATAAAACCCTACATTCCCAAAAACTACATAGTGTCTTAAGATTCGAGGGAAGGAGGATAGTCGAAACTGAAATGCATGGGAAGATGATACAGAATGCATTTATACCACTGTGACTGATTATTAACCATTTAACTGCTCAAGATCACCAATAACTAGTGATGTTCAAATGCCCCGATATATCCAAGTACTACCAAGGGTGGATGGATTTAAATCTCACTCTCTTCTATTCACTGCCTTCTTACTATAGAGGTTTTGCTTACGAAATCGGGCCCCTTTGTACCAACGTTCACATGTTTACGTAAATCAAAAATACAGTCATCACGTGAACCCCAACTAGTTAGTTTAAGCCTATTCACACTGACAAGCGGTTAATGGACTGAAATCCTGTGTTTATATAACCGCCTTTAACTTTCATTCAACGTACCAATCACTCCTAGCCCTGACAATACTGAGCGTTTAGATGCGTAGGCGGTGGTTGGGAATATATAAAACATATCCAAGTGGTCTCAGTCGATAATAATTTAGAATCTTATTGACTGATTCAGCACTTTTTTATGTAGCATTTAACCTCGAAATTGTTTGAGCAATGTCAACTGAAATAATAAAAATATTAATAATCATTTGATTATCCTTGGGTAACTTCAAAATAGATTTCTGAATACATTAATGAGAAATTGTGATCAATGAAATCTAATCAGAGAGACATATCATTAATAACTTCAGATAAGAATTGTACAACAGTATAAAAATTGAAGTTGAACACACTAAAAATAATTATCACTACAAGATTTGAGAATGTCTCAAAGAGTCGTAAATGAATGTTCACTACTGACCGACGAAACCACTACATTAGATCAAAATCAAAATCACTTTTGATAACTATTCAAAACAGTCATAATAATGAAGAAAATACTAACTTGTCCATTAGCTGTTTGATAATATGTTGGTCCGCCTGAAACAGGAGCATAAATAATCGGTGTATATTCTTGATATTGTCTAATAAAGGAAATAAATGGAGAAAAAAATATTCAACAAATACGTTGTTAGTAATAATACAATGTAAAATATTATTTAGATATTTAATAAAGAAAAGAGAAACAAACGAAAACCAATAAGATAAACTCAAACAAAATCATATTACTGTTGTACAGTCTATTCAATGGAATAGATGAACTGAAGCGGTTGTTCAAACAATTTATGATGATTTGATCCAATTTAAAGTCAATAACATTGGTTTGTTTGACATTTCTTTTATTTCATGAAAATACATTCACAATTGATTCGTTAAAATATATATATATATATATATATATATATATATATATATATATATATATATATATATATGTATTCCTGGATGTTCATAGAAGTTAAACTCTCCAGTTATTTTATCATTTCATGTTTTATAGAATTGTATACACCAATGATTTATTTCTGGGTTTCAGTTAAAATTGAAGTGTTTTGTAGTTTTCGTTCACAATTACCTGATCCAGTCTTTGTAAACAGCTGTTTTTTCTTTTCTCAATAAATGATCTATAGTATTTGATACATTTTCTAAGAGTACTTCTTATGTTTCATTAAAGGAGGCACATAGATATTGGTACAAGGAGGCACCAAATACATATGCGCCACACAAATCTCATTCGATGTGTGAGGGCTATGATACTGATCGGGTGCCCAAACCGAAGCAGGTAGTTTTCTTAGGGGGCCACTCCCCGAGCCTCCGACCTGAAGATCTGATCCGCAAGGCAGTGGAGCATCGTAAGGAGATGCAGTCCCATGGAAGCCGGTGACCAACAATTGGTTCATACGCCATTTGTTCCCGCAGGATACTGGAGCCCATGTGCACCATTGAGTTTCATTAAAGACTATTAATAGATCAGTTTCTGTAAATATATATGTATACTGGACAGATCATGCATAACTATAACTATAGCTCAATAAATAACTGAACAGCTTGAAAGCAAACTAATTAAATAGCCAACAAATTTAAAAAAATAAAGGCAATATAATAAAGACTTGACTGTACCCAATCGGATCAGTAAAATTCATGCAAGTCGACATATACCACCGACCAACATGCCTATAAAATAATACATGTTAATATCAATTCATTACCAATTATACCTCAAACAAAACTACTGTCATTTTGTTAATAAACCATTCCAATTAACAAACTAATTATCATAAAACATGCACTTAAATGTCATTCCATAATATTCAAACATACAATATAAAATACATAGCACTTTAAAACGGGGGTTAGGAGTACCAAAAAGCACACACACGCACAAGCACGGGGGGGTTAAGAGGGTAAAATTAGATTAATTTAAAACGAGTAAATAATGATGATTTGGGGAAAAGAAAAAGGGTTAGCGATAGCAGTATAATTTCCTCATTCCATTGTCCAAATCAACCACTCAATTATTTTATAACAACAAACGAAACTCTAGAGAGATGGATCAAGCATAAATTACCCAGACAAAGATTTCGTGACTGATGCAAATAGTTTTCTTAATGGCGTACCAGACTTAATTTCGAGAATCCCACTGAAAATCAAGAAATTTGATAAGAACCCAAAGAGTGAAAGAAGAGCAGTAGAAGCATAGAAAACTGTGATGTAAATTAAAATACATAAAACTGGAGAGGATTTTTATTGTTGTGATCAGTGTAAAATCGAGGCATTTGGTATATATATACACCCGTTCACATAAAAATTAATTCATATTCCATCTGATATAAAACTTTGGAAATATCTCCACAATCTACTAAACCAAATACTAATAGCGCGGTCGCTAGTAACTAACTTTGAAACGCATTTCAGATGTGGTGCCAAGAAGTCACAACCAGTGCTCGTTCATATCAGAATTAAGACAATTTTCATAAATAGTACAATTTATTGTGAAACCATGAAAGTCGGATATGTTGACAGCTGGACTCCGACTTGGTGGGTCTAAAGGTGATAGAATTACCACAAGACCTGGAGATCCTAAGTTCCATTCTTCGTTTATAATACTTCATTGGCTGAAGTCAGTCGAGTAAGCCAATTACAACAACAGATGGAACGACTTTTACAAACAAGGTTAATATTACTGATAGCTAAAATAATTCCCCATCAGAGTATATTTACTGAACAATACAAAACCTTCTGAGGAATGGAAATACAGACTGAAAATTGATAATCCATTTGTTAATATTTTCAGGGTATTTTTCGTAACGAAATGAAAGCCTTTGACACTGTAACTGTTTACATAGTACAAAGTGCATTAACCGTTTAATAAACATACAAATACAATTAAAGAACATACTTACCCGCCTTCTCCATTTGCAGTATAAACAGTTTGTTCAGCGATAGCTTCAATGTAATGTGCTGGATATATAGTTTGTGAGTTATTTGAATGTGCTGTTTGTAATAAACTAGTTTCCACTCCACTTGTTGGTGGACGATTACTAGTAGAGTCGGAAGCTATCGTTAAAATGAAATATTAATTGTCAGTATATTTCACTTTACCAATTTTACTAAGTAGGACATGTTGACCACCTTGTTGTAAAATTGTATGATTTTTCGGAGATAGATGAACAATGGTGGTACCTGGACCAGACGCTGATTGCATGGTCTTGATTGTAAGTGAAAATGTGAAAATTTGTGCACCTAAAACATGAAAATAAATTAAATCGAGTAATCTCCCCCAAGAGGATATACTAGTGAAAAGTAGATCGGAATTAGATGAAGTTATGTGGACAGAAAATGAATCTGGGCAATCCTATTACGCCAAAATAAAAGGATACTTAATAGTTACGCTGAAGTAGATTACGACGGAAATAAATTACAGGGTATGGAAGCTACCATGTGAAAAATACAATAAAAGCAGTTTTAAAGTAATCTAATCATACTATATTGAAAAGACAGTCTCTTTTCTAAACACGGGTGAGTTTATGTTTGATCCATGTATTACTATTCATGAAAATATACTTATAGTCACTAATAACTAGTGGACATGATGGAGACTGTTACAAATTTTTATGATTTCCGTAAACTTTTACTTGACCTGCTTCTAGTGCACACCTTTAGGTGTATCACATGTCAAACATTTCGGTGAGGTGCGCCTAAACTGATGAGTCGATTGTCTATAACTACTTAGCTATAGCAACGCCCACAACATAATAGCCAACAGAAACATCATGATTCTCACATCATAATCCAGTTTTCATGAAATAAAGGATCAATTTGTTATGTAATGGTTAGAAATTAGTCAGAATACAAGAAATTTTATTTAACTACGTTCCGAATTGTTGGTTAATTTACGAAGTCGCACAATGTGTAAACTATGATGTTATGTTAATATCCTTACAAATGTAATTCCGTGCAGAAAGTCATAAGACAACCAAGGATCTGATAGTTATTTGTCTTTGAACTTAGAAGTTACCAGCACTAAATGGATGACCGTGGCCTAATCATAGTTACCGTAATGGGTAACTAACAACCAAGTAGACGTATTTACACAAAAAGATAAACAACTAGGTCTTCTAGGATTCCACCCGACAACATAGTGTAAACTATTTACAGCAAATGCACATTGTAGATAGTTTATTTTTATCAAGTGACAATTCGGGAAATGTATAAAGAGAAAATCAAACTAGATAACTCCGTACGATGGATGTAAATAAAATATATTAATCACTATATACGGTTAAAGATAGTCAAAGACTTCCACTTTTTCTGAAGTACAATCCTACGCTTTAGTAGAGCTCGATAACAATTAACCCATAAAACTAGGCCTATTTCGGAGCATAATGTGTGTCATTTGAACAATGTTATGTCTAGATTTTGACACTCATCTGTAGCTATGCTCTTTGACTTGAAGGTAATGTTAGACTATCGATTGAAGCCATTATTTCCATAACCATTAGCGAAAGTTATACAAATGAAGTATATTATTACAATGAAGACTCTAAACTCAAAACTTAATTGGTTCAAAATGATAAGGGTAATGAGTGGACGACAAGCAGCCTTGTTTGACTAACATTACTTGAAAAAAAAGATGGGGAAGTTCTTTGAACAAATAAACACGGAGAATGTGTCACGAACTGGAGTAGAACAGTATTAGTGTCTTAGAAACGACTAATTCTCTGAATACGAGCTTTACAGAAAACTGCAGGTTCTCTAGACTGAGAGCTAACAGAAGCAAAGTGCTTAAGCAACACTCACTAATTTGTATGGTTGATAACGAAACCGGAATATTATTATTCCAGTTTGTCAACTGACAAAATATACTTTTACAAAACTCTAGACCGCTGAATCTGCACATGATTGTAGTATGGATAACCATTTATACTATCTATTGATGGATAAATACCCAGGGATAGTGGTATACCAACCACCATAACAACAACAGTACCCAAGTCGACTTGCAAGCGGATTGATTTTCATCAAGATATGATAAAAGGTGAATTCCTAGGTAAACTTCGAGTAAGATAATCAGACGAAGCACATGAATCTTCCTTTGTTCTTGTATTATTGTAACTAAAGTACTTGGAGTGTTGTTTGAGAACGAATTTCAGGTCGAGTGCAACACGGATTATTGCAGAAAAAGCTATTCGTGATGTTTAACTAGGCACAGAGAATTCTATGGAACTTTAGGAGCTTTCTATAAACCGGGTATACTTTGAAACCAGGCTACAATAATGAGACTCGTCATTCACCGTCCTGGTCAACAGTCACAAATATATTGGAAGGACTGGACTGATTATATGACTACAATAGCTCGAAATATAAAATAACATCTATCTGACTTATTACATGTTGCTTGGACTTTTATTACTAGGATTACACCATTAAGGCCGCAAACTACTATTTAAATCATAAAATGAAAATCCCACCTCAGTTGACAGGAAACAGTCGCCAACAGCTACGGTGACTATGGCGCTCACTATGGCGGCAAAGCGTTATGTCAACGGTTGCCAGCGTCACAAAATATGACTTGTTTTAACGAACAAGTCATACAAACTCCTGATGATCATTGAGTATCTTTCGGAACACAAATAACATTAAGATATATAAGTGAAAGCTAAAATACCATTTAAGACACCATACTTTTATTGATAATGTACAGTGTACAATTGCAAAAACTCTCATATGGACATGAAAATAATAGCTTGGTGGTTATTGATGAGTTTTCTTGGCAACTTGGTGGTGCTAAAATATAATTTCTGTCAACACTATTGTCTCATTGTGCTTAAAAACAGAAGCTACACATGTTTTTTGTAGACTTTAATGTTAGACTAATATCTAAATGCAAGGAGCAACTAGTTTTCAACATGTAATGAAAATAGGGCGAAGACGTCAGCATACAAATATCACAATATCGGCCTGTCAAACGTTGATATTAAGGAGAAGAAATCAAAAAGTGCTAATTCATGGTTAAAATTTCTGAGTCATATTAGCGAACAGCTAGAGCCTTTAAAGTTCAAAACTCTGGCCCAAAACATTACCAACCCCTTATATCTAAAAGCTTTAATATGGGTTTGTAAGTAGGTATACAGTCATATCGACCATTTCCGGGATTATAATTAATAATCAATATGGAGCCGATCAAACCATAGTAGACAAATAATCGGAAAAATTTCGAACTTCATTTTGAACATAGGATTTCATATCAACATATAGAAAACAAAGTCTCAAGAACTTTTGTCGACTAGAGAACACGAAGTCTGACATAGAGAGGAGCATAAAAGTCCACAGGGAATGCGACAGGTTTTTAAACGTCTAGCTTTCGAGATATTGGTTTAATGATTCATCTTTTTCTACATAGATAATACTGAAAAGAATTAGTGCCTCAAAACTCCAACTTTTTTATCAGTGGTTGCTTCGGAAAGTTAGGTCGCAGATATTTGAAGCTGCATTATATGACTTTCCAACTGGCTATCAGTAAAAGTTTTCACCCCATTCGTACTTATTTCTGTAATGTCAATTTTTTAGTGAAATACAACTTTATCTACCAAGTATCTGTGTAGTCTCCTTTGCACACGGACAAATGCGGGTCAACACAGTAATTGTGGCAGAAGCCTCTGCATCAGTAGGCCTCAACATATACAAGGGAAAAAGAAAGATCCTCAAATACAACACAGAGAACACCGACCCAACCACACATGATGTGAAAACTCTGGAAGATGTGAAATCTTTCTTGTAACTGAGAAGCATCATCTATGAAGGAGGAGGATCCGATGCAAACGTAAAAGCGAGGATCGACAAAGCAAGTACAGTACTCTTACAGTTGAAGAACATTTCGAACTAAAAAACTCTCTGTCAACCAATATCAAAGTCAAAATCTTCAATGCAAGCGTCAAGACAGTTCTACCGTATGGAGCCGAAACTTCGACAAATACCACAACCGTCATCAAAAACGTACAAGTATTTCCAAAAAATTGTGTACACCAGATACTCAATTTCCATTGGTCGGATACCATTAGCCTTTTGTGGGAGAGGATAAACAATCTTCATGCTGGAGTTAATTTGGAAACGACCTTGGAAGTGGATAGGACATACACGACGAAAATCATCAAATCACATCGCGAGGCAAGCACGAACCTGGAACCCTGATGGCAAATAAAAAAGAGGAAGGGCTAAGAACATACTGCACACTGCAGACATCGAAAGAGTGAATAACAACTGGAAACAACTGAGAAGGGTTGCCCGAGACAGAGATGAATGGAGAATGGTGGTGATCGGCTTTTGCTCCTCTCTGAGTGGTAACAGGCGTAAGTAAACAAATAATTTGTGTAGTCACCAGCACTATTATATATAGATAGTGACTAAATTTCTTAATGCTTGAAGTAAAACCAAATCAAACAAGGAGATAACAATAAAATGGCGGTGACTTCTGGCCGACGATGGAGCGCGCAGTCTTATGCTTCATGATACCGGCTAACTGACATTTCTCTTAACTTATGAATATTGTATTCTGAATCTTCCAATATGGATGCTTAAAATCTACGTCTGAGATGTGAGGCTTTATTCCCTCTTATAACCATGATTTTTTTCACCTGTCTTGCTCTTATCAGAGTTAGCTGATCCTTCTGCTGTACTTGGAACTACCAATGATGCTAACCTCACAGAATTTTTGCTGGCTTGATATGGACAAATTTGTGATCAGGTGTCACTAATAACACTCGCGCCTAGCACTTTTCAAGCATCTTTTGAAAAACACATCAAAAAACACTAAATGCTCTGATAATCATTAAACCATGGTTTATAAGCAAATGAATATCCGTCATCATCAGGAGTCAATATTACGTCCACTAGATAATGCTTAGTTCCATATATAACTGTGCAGACAAATATCGATGGAAGAACTGGCCATGAGGAATAAGGAAGGCAGTTAAGTAGCGATAATACTCCAGACTGTTGTTACATGACTCTTCAATAACATGCGAGCTGATAATCACGGATAGAAAACCACCAATGAGTAGATCCACAAATGCCTATAAACCATACTAGAAGGTAGGATCCGCTATCTCTGAGATGGTAAGCGACCAGAGTTGTTGAAGTTGTTGATGGGTAAGTAAGAAATGGAGATACTGGGAGCATGGGATCATCATGATGGAAATTGAAAATTCGAGGATAACTTAACAGTCTGAATCTATGGAGGTCTACATAATTCAGGGTCCAACTGTCCACTAGCATTATAACTTAGAACCTAGTGTGAATGGAGATTAATTTATGAACCACTGTATCTATTAATGTTGTACAGAGTCATCAGAAGCTGTATGTTTACGGTGTGTTTAGTTCGTGACTAGACGTTATTTTGTTGTTAACTCTTGCCTAGTTAACGTAGAAGAATAGTTGTAACTTATATTCTCACATGTATCAGTCTGCATCGATAAACATCGCACTGCTGATACTTCGTTTGGAAACTCACACATTATACTATTGTATAATAATGCATCGATGTTTAATCCATGGTTCATAAGTCTTAACTGTCTGGTATGCTGGCAAAATAGTGCCTCTAAAAATGTTGTTTTCCGCCAGAATGTAGATCGTAGAGTTTTGAGCAGAACTTAACATTTAACCTGAAAATCATGAAGTGGATTTACTGACCAACAGGCATCCTTGTAATCCGTTAGAGTTTACCACAATGACGTGAAACGTAGGTCTAGGCTAATATTAATGAATATATCTATGTCACTAGAATATTGAATCTAATTTAGCAGTGTGGATTTGCCATGATTTGACTACTTAACCACAGAATCTTACGTCGTAGTCATATCACTGTCTACACAGACTCGTCCTATCGTGATAGTCAGATATATAGGTTTTACGAACCTTTACATAACACATTAAGGCTGAAGGCAGAATAAAATTTATAAAGAAAGAGGTTATATAGGATGACTATGTCTGCATGACAGAGCTATACCATCTCGGTGGGATGTCAGTCTGAGGAACTTTTCATCTTATAGTTACAGTTAAGTGTGATGGGTTGGTTGATTCGTTAAGATATTATAGACTGCACTGGCACGGTATATCTCAAGTTCTGTGGAAATTCTAGTAACTGCGACAAGCGGCATTTTGTTGGATAAGGGTATAAATAATTTTATCTGGCGTTAATAAGCGAGATGTAGGGTTTAGTGAGAAATCAAAGTTCATCTAATTTTGGCCTTAGGCGAAACACACTAGTATGTTCTTCTTCAGATTGTTCTCTACTCTATATGGCTTACAGGATGAAGGATTGTTTTGAATAAATGTGTGCCCATCTGAAATGTCACAAAGAATCATTTTTCCACGGTTCTTCAACATTAGCCTGTTCTTAGTGACTTTCCTTAATATACAATTCCACAATAATTATTCGACTGTTGCCCTGGCCTCCTGGCATTTGTTTTGTGTTAATCATATCAATATCCGAACGATTATATGAAGCAGTAAATAGCCACTACTTGATGAGTACTCGGGAGATCGAACTTTCAGAGTAATGTAACCTAGTTCATTTCCCCAATCGTATTATGTTGAGTTAACTTTCAAATTGCGTGTGGATTTTTGGTTGCATTTATCATTATTTTGATCCTTTTTAGAAAGCTATGTTCAGAATCGGTTTCAACTAGAGCTTGTCTCGAACCCTGATAGAGGATAAAGGTTTACCATTGTATTTGCAACCCTATTCCAAATAAAACGACCATTAATAAGGGACTCAAACGATAAAAACAATATGAGTCGCTGAGAATATGCCTTTGAAGTGTAGGCATTTTCACCCGAGAGAGGTGTGAGGCAGAGGCGCCGTTGGACTCTGGTTTTGAAGAAGAAAATGCTTTCCATATATGGGTTGTACTGAAAGCATTC